CATTAGGCTTACTCTTGGAGTTGTGGGTTTGAACAAGTGGACAATGACATGGATCCTCCATTGCAGTCTCATGCAGAGTAGTTTCATGGCCCCCCAAATCGTCTGTGCTCCGTCTGTTCATCCCTCCCCATCCTCCAACTCCTGGAAATCCTGATCTTTTTACTGTCTCAGTAGTTTTTACCTTTTCCAGAATGTCAGATAGTTGGAATCATATGGTATGTGGCCTCCTCCAGTCGGCGCCCTTCACTCAGTAATACACATTTAAGGTTCCTCCACGTCTTTTCATGGTTTGAGAGCTGATTTCTTTGTAGTGCTGAATAATAAATACTCCACCAAATGGATGTAGCACAGTTTATCCATCCACCTGTTGAAGGACATCTTGGGGGCCCCCAAGTTTTGGCAATTAGGAATAAAGCTGCTGTAAATACCTGTGTGTAGGTTTTTGTGTGGACGTAAATTTTTCAGTTCCTTCGGGTACATACCAAGGAGCACAATTGCTGGATTGTAAGGTGAGAGTATGTTTAGTTTTATAAGAAACTGCCAAACTGTCTTCCAAAGTGGCTGCGCCATTTTGCATTTCCACCAGCAATGGATGAAATCTCCTGTTGCCCCACGTCCTCACCCATATTTGGTGTTGTCACTGTTCCACCTGTTAGCCATTCTAGTAGGTGTGTAGTGGTAGTTCATTATTTTATTTTGCATTTCCCTGAGGACACATGATGTGGAGTATCTTTTCATGTGCTCATTTGCCATCTGTGTACATCTTTGGGGAGGTGCCCATAAAGGTCTTTGGCCCAGTTTTTAATCAGGTTGTTTGTTTTCTCATTGTTGAGTTTTAAACTGGTCTTTGTGTGTTTTGCATGATAGTCCTTTCTCAGATGTGCCTTTTGCAAATGTTTTCTCCTTCTCTTAACAGTGTGTTTCCCAAAGCAGAAGTTAGTGATTTTAATGAAGCCCAGCTTCTCAATTAATTTTTCCCAGAGTGTGTCTTTGGTTTTGTATCCAAAAAGTCATCACCATGCCCAAAGTAGATGTTGGTCTTTCAAATTCTCCTAATTTTTCCTTTCCTATCCTTGTTTTTTTGTGTGGATTTTTCACTTTGTCATGTTTGCTTTGTCGCTCCCTGTGTCCTAACATCTATTCTTGTTTTACAGGCCCAACATCCCCACATGACACTGAGACTGTGTGTGGGTTCGGGGTTTTGTTTGGTTTTATTTTTTTCCTTTTAAGTAGCCTCTGTCTTCTGTCTTGCCTTTCTCCAAATTCCTCTTGGAGGCTTCTTTTTTTTTTTTTTTAAGATTTTTATTGGGGGAATTGGGGGAGGGGAACAGCGTTGGGGAATTGGGGAAGGGGAACAGACAAGTTGCTGTCCCTTTGTTCTTCAGTCTAGTTGTGGAAGACGTTGCTTCACTGACCCATGTTGGTATTATCATTGCGCTGTTCCCCGGTGAGGCAGCCGCTTGCTGGCCATTGAACAGTTGCTTACAGCAGCTCACGAAAGCGCACGCCAGCTGCCGGCCAGCCCCACTGCAGCCTACACTGTTGTCAGAGACTCACGGCAGCCCAGCTCCAGGTCAAGCTGTTGTTCACCATCTTAGCTGTAGAGGGCGCAACATCATTGGCCCTCGTGTGGGATCTGAACCGGCACTCTGCTGCTCAGAGCTGGCGTCCCAAACCAACTCCTAACCAACGCGCCACTTGGCCAGCCCTCTTGGAGGCTTCTTAAAGGGAGACAGGGCATGGCTGTTTTGGGAGCCACTGTAAGCCCTTGCTTTAAAGGCCACAGGGTCTCCTGGGCCTCCTGTCGAGTACACCCAGTTCCTCTTTCCAGACACCCTCCTGCTTGGAGACCAGAGTCAGAGCCCCTGGTTCAGTTGTTCCAAGAAGGTCCCTTCGCTCTCCTGCAGAGCTGAGGACAAGCACAGGGTCAGACCCCACCCACCCTGCATTAGATCCCAGAATTTGTCTCTCCCTTTTCTCTTTGTCCTAGTGGGTTAGGCATCACTTTGTTTATCGGTATTGATTTCAGGAGTGAACTGAGATAAATATGTGTGTGTTTAGTCCGTTCTGTATTCCATAATTTTTCACCCTCTGTATGTAGTGAAACTTGCTATTTGCAGAAAATGAAATGCTATAGTAAAGATCTTTTTTAATTTTTAAATTTAATTTTTTAAATAAAGTTAAAAGCATACTGAAGCCAGTAGGAAGGGGCTTCACTGGGCGTATGCGGGACCACTGGAACATCAAATTCAAAATGGGTCTGCTGGTTCTGATCCACTGAGTAAAATAGGAATGTGTGAGCTCATACCCATGTCGATACCTGGAGGAGGAAAGGTGGTTTCTTATAGCAGAATGCTGACAGCTGGAAGGAATGACTAGGTAGAAAATCACCTTTTGACAGTCGTCAACGGCAGTAGTTCAACCAGCAAATGTCAGAGCGCTGAAACCAGAGGGCGGACATTTGATGTGGAGTGGGATGGGCACATAGTCATTCATTGCTCAGGCGGAAAGAACCTACAGCAGAGAGACCGGAGACTCCACCTGAGCCTGTCATCAGGGGTGACATGGGCTCAGTGGGGATCTGGACACGCCCCCCCCCAGGCAGGGTACAGTGGGGCATACCTCTGCTGGGCCCTTATGATGTCCTCCACTGACCTTTGACCCCAGCAGTGTCTGTCCAAGGACTGAGAGCTCATGGTTACTTCCAGGGCAGGTTCATCAGCATTTGAGAAAGGGACCTTTTTTCGTCAGTCCTTGTTTGGAAATAAAACAGTTGAGTGAAAGTACTGCAGTATGGAGAGGCCAGGCCTGGGCAGCTCTCGTGCCCTTGGGGCTGTCTGGGACGGAGACCCCGCCCCTGAGAGCCCACTGTCCCCCAAGCCACAGCTGCCTGGCCCTTCCTGCCAGCTCCCTGACCTTAGGTCACAGCCAGCCTGGTGATGCCCCAGTGATTCTGTTCTGCTGAGTGAGGGGAGCCTGGGGTGAGAATGTGGCCCGGACACGGCGTGTATGTTCTCACATGAGCCTGTTGCCACACCACATGGGCCCCCTCCTTTCTGGGACGCGTGTCTTCCCCGATGGGAAAGAGTCCCCACCGACACTGCTCCCCTAGGGCCCTTGTTGTGCCTTGGACTCAGTACCCAGGTGTTGTAGGTCTCTGCATCCTGCCTGCAAGGTGAGCGCTGAGCTTTGAGTGTGTTAGGAAAGGTTGGCTTCTGGTCTGTGCCAGGGGCTCCCTAGCTCCCCATGCATTCATTATCTTGAGTGTGGGCCATGTTTCACTGGGGCTTTGTGGGGCAGTTGGAAGACACAGTGGGGCCTTGGTGTGGTTGTTTCTGGCCCTTTGAAAAGCTTTGTGATCTATTGGAGAGGATCTGGCATTCTTTTGAAAGCCACAGATGGTGGATGCTAAACATCACCTCTTCCCACATGTCAGAGATTGCACCCAGAGGCAGGTTTAGAGGACTTGGGGTCAAGTTGTCATGTGGCCTTGGGCATTACTTCCTGAGATGACAGCAGCTGCTGCCTCAAATCCCTGTCAGCCCTGTTCTAAGATTCCCAGACTCTCCCTTCTTAGAGTGGTTGGGGGGCTCAAGAGGTCCATCAGACAGCACTTTTTCTGTAGCTTAGGAATTGGAATTTCATTAGCTCCTGCCCCTTAAGTTTTCAGGAGGAGGAAGTATTGTGTCCATCTGTCTGTCTGTGATGGGAGTGTGGGTGGTCTCTGAGCTGCTCCTGCACTGATGGCCCTGGGCTGCACAGAGAGAGACCTGGGGTCCCTTGTCTCCGCAGGTTTCTCTGGCCAGTGTCACTTCCTGCAGTCTACAGCATGGGGAATATCTTTGCAAACCTCTTCAAGGGCCTTTTTGGCAAAAAAGAAATGCGTATCCTCATGGTGGGCCTGGACGCTGCGGGGAAGACCACCATCCTGTACAAACTGAAGCTGGGTGAGATCGTGACCACCATCCCCACCATAGGTGAGGAGGCTGGGCCTCTGGTTGCAGGGTGGGGGGCAGCCTGGGGGCAGGGCTCAAGCTGGGCCTTGCTTCCGCAGGTTTCAACGTGGAAACAGTGGAGTACAAGAACATCAGCTTCACCGTGTGGGACGTGGGCGGCCAGGACAAGATCCGGCCTCTGTGGCGCCACTACTTCCAAAACACACAAGGTGAGGGTGGGAGGCCCACGGGCTGTGGGAGCGCTTGGGTGTCCTCAGTGCCTGGCTGACTCCTGCTCCTTGGCAGGTCTCATCTTCGTGGTTGACAGCAATGACCGAGAGCGTGTGAACGAGGCCCGCGAGGAGCTCATGCGGATGCTGGCGGAGGACGAGCTCCGGGACGCTGTCCTGCTTGTGTTCGCCAACAAGCAGGTAGGCGCTCGTGTGTGACCCAGCCACCCAGAGGGACTGAGGGGTCACGGGTGGGGTGGGGTCCGAGTTTTCCTGCTGACTGGTGGCTGCCATGCCACCCTCCCTTCCACCAGGACCTTCCCAATGCCATGAATGCAGCTGAGATCACGGACAAGCTGGGCCTGCACTCTCTGCGCCACAGGAACTGGTACATTCAGGCCACCTGCGCCACCAGTGGGGACGGGCTCTATGAGGGACTGGACTGGCTGTCCAATCAGCTCCGGAACCAGAAGTGAGCCGCGCTCCTCTCCTCCCTCACTCCCTCCTCCGCCCTTGCTTTCTTCTCATGTGGCAGACGTGCCCCTGTGGTGTGAGTGCCAGAAGCTGTCTCCATGGTTGGTCCCAGTGTGCTTCACCATGCTGTACATGTGCAGACGCAGCCTGCAACCGGGTTTTTATTTAATGTAAATAGTTCTTGTTTCCAATGAGGCAGTTTCTGGTACTCTATGCAATATTACTCAGCTTTTTTTATTGTAAAAAGAGAATCAACCCACTGTTTAGTACTGAGAAGGGATTTTAGGCATCTGGGGCCTCTAGGAGTCGCTGTTAGACCAGCCCGACACTCCTCTGAGATTTAGATCTGTGTTGAGATCCATTTTGGTGGTTGGTTTTTAACCCAAACTCAGTGCATTTTTTAAAATAGTTACAAATACAAAATAAGGAGACACTTGAACACACAGAAGGGAGAAATGTGCCTAGTGTAGGTTCTGCAGCAATGGCCTGAGTCCAGTCCACCTGCGGTCTCTCCTGTCTGGAGCATGTGGCAGGCAGAACCAGCCATGATATGTTCTGCATGGTCACATACGGTCCCCGTGATTGGCTGGGTCATCCTGCATCCCATAGCGTTTGTGCTTGTACCTGTGCTTAACTCCGCCACCCAGGGGATGGGCTGGGGGCTATGGCCACCACTCTGACACCTTGGAGGGACCCCAAATTTCCCTTGGGTCAGTGTGGGTACTTTGGTGGGACCACTCTGGCCAGAGCGGGAGCCCTGTGGTCGCCACGCATGCTTGCTCGCTCCAGAGTGTCTGGGTCTCACCAGCAGGAGCACAGGCAGATGGGTGGTGGGTCATCCTAGAGTCCAGCCCCTTCGAGCCCCCGTCTACATGTGCTTTCACTCCCTCAGCCTGCAAGGGTCGGTCAGATTTGCCATCAAAAACGACAACCTCTACTTTTTTTCTTTTGTATTTTGATAAACACTGAAGAAGCTGGAGCTGTTAAACTTTATCTTGGGGAAAACCTCAGAACTGGTTTATCTGGTGTCATGGAACCTCTTACTGCTTTCAGTACACAATTAGTAATCAACTGTTTTGTATACTTGTTTTCAGTTTTCATTTCGACAAGCACTGTAATTATAGCTATTAGAATAAAATCTCTTAACTATTTCATGGCTTTCTAGTACTTGGGTGTTGCTGGCCAAAGGCTGCCTCCCAGAATGTGGGCAGGGACAACTTACAAAGTGTAACCCACCCCGGACCCACCCCATTTCTTCTCTGACTCTCCCCACCCCACCTTCATTGTGGAATGGGTGGGTGGGTGTGTCCAGCGCCCTTGGGACCCTCATGGGTCTCACCCCACTGGCAGCCCAGCCCCCAGTCTCCTGGTCCAATCTTGGCCATGCCAGGCCTTGAGAGGACCATCAGGGTCCCCATGTGGGCTGTGCCCTGGGATTGTGTGCACCCCCCTGCAGGACAAGAACCCCTGGCTTAGCTCCATGTCCTTCCCTGGGGAGCTTCTGCCATGGTGCACACCTGTGCCCAGTTGGGTGCTGCGGGCCGCCTACCTGCTTCTTGGTGGCCGTCCCTCCGACCTAGAGCCCTTTTGGACACCCCTGCGCCCCGTGGCCAAGCCAAGGTCAAGGTGTACTTCCCCAGAGGCGTCCAGCCCCATGTGTGGCCCTCTGCCCTGCCCAGCCTGAGATAACAGTCAGAGGTTGAGTGAGAATCAGGGCTGAGGCTCTGAAGACAATCATTTTTAGTTTTTGTTTCTTTGAAAATCAGAAGCAAAATTGAATATATTTCATAAGTGAATCCAGCCTGGGTTTTGTCTTTACTCCGATGCAGCTGTAAGATGTAAGTTTCCATTTCTTCTGTGGATGGGGTGGTACATGGTTCAAGTACACCTCCTGGGGAGGGGGGGAGGCAAGATTGAGGGCACCTGGAACTCCACCCAACCTGGGAGAAGCAGAGCAGACTCAACAGGCAAATAGGGAGGCATGGGACCAAGGTAGGGGGTGCGTGGGGAATGAGAATGTCTCCAGGTACAATTCCCGCCCCCACCCCCAACTTATAAACACCCAGTCTGGCTGCCTCTCTCTGTACTTGCCTACCTGCAGCTGAGTCCCAACACTCGCCCTGCGCAACCAGGACAGTCACTCTCCCAGTGGGGTCTCGGGTGGTCTTGTTGGAACCCAAGGTATTTGCCACATTCTCACACATCACTTTCTACTGGAGGACATGACAACTCTCAATATGAGACGTTTTCCACTTAAAATAAGTTTATTTAAGTACAAAGGGGGGGGTCAACACAAAGAAAAAGTAGCCGTACATGGTCACAGCTTAGCCTCTTGGCCTAGGGGAAGCTGGACCTAGGCATCTGTGTCCTTCCCTGATGGGCCTGGGGCCATCTGGGAGTGAGGCCTCATCCAGACACCTTGTCTGCTTTCAGGGCCCCCACAAGTCTGCCCTCCAGCTTCCTGGGCTTGGCAGGGCACATGCTGAGGCTTCACTGAGGGTAAGGCTTGACTGGGGTGGGCTTGGCCTCAGTCACTGTTGTGCCCTCGCTGCCTCTTACAGCAGGGCGAGATGGAGTCGGAGTCGTGCCTACAATGGCGGGCCCTGAGGAGAGCAGGGGATGCCCAGTGAGGAGCCACCTACCACCTGGCCCAACCTCCCAGGCTCTCCAGGCAGAGCTGCAGCACCTACCGGGCACGAGCCGGGGACAGTGAGGAGGCTGCCCCCATCCTGTGCTCCCTGTCTCGCTTCTCTTTCTTGTGCTTTTTCTTCTTCTTCTTCTTTTTTCTGCTCTTCTTGTGGCTCTCAGAGCTGTGAGGGGGATACAGAGTGCCAGAAACCACTGGGTTATAGGAGTCTCACAGGGTGTGAGACCTATAAGCTTGTGCAAGCCACCACAGTTAACCACTGACCAATCTTCAGTATCACGTGGCCAGTGGCTGGCATTGGGAAGGGGGCACAAATAGGGGACTTATCATGGTCCCTTTCAATACCCTCCCTGCCAGGTGGTGCACTTGCCTGCACTCCACACCCCTCACATGATCTCCAGAGTGGCTACTGCACTACACGGATGGCTGCTGGGGGGGGGGGGGGCTTGCACAGGTGGCCTCTCCACCCTGTAGCTCACACCACGGGGCTGCCTGACCTCGATGAACACCAGGCCTGGGACTGCCCTGGGGTCACAACCTTGAGAGGCTCCCCAAAAGTAAAAGGGACTGGAACCCAAAACATCACTGGCTTGAAATAGAGACTCCACAGTCTCACAGCGCTCAGCCAGCCCTTACCCCAGCTCCGCCTTTGCCTTCTCCTCCAGCCGAGGCTTCTTCCGGGATGGTGAGGCCCCTGGGCGACTGCTCTCCACGCGGTGGTGCTGCCAAGGGAACCACACTTGGGGTCGTGCACGTTCCCTGGGGAGAACCAGCCCCGGTTTCCTAGGCCAAGAAGCTAGGAGGGTCCCCGAGGGGAGACCAGAGACAGCCCACCCCCAAGCACTCGACAGTAAGAGGTACATAGATCCCGGGACATTTAGAGGTGATTACCGTGAATACCGAGAGCCCCAGCTTAGCCGCCTCCTTGTCTTCTCGGGACAACACCACTCGGCCTGCGGAACCACTGCGGGGACACGGGTGAGACCCTCCCCCGTAAGACATCCCACCCCCTCCCCAAGGCCTCCCTAGCGGGTACCAGCTTCCGCCTAAGCAGCTGACAGCTCCAAGCCCCTAAGAGCTGCACCCTGGTCCTTTCTGAGGCCCCGCCCTTCAGGAGGGCCCCGGGTCCGCACCTGGAGCTCCCCAGGCCCAGGAGCCGGTCCACTCCCTTCTCTTCGGGGTCACCTCCTTCCCGCTTGCAGACCTCCACAAAATCCTGTGGGAGGGCAGGTAGCGCAGGGTCAGCCCGGTCCCAGACCGTCCCACCCCCGCCCCCACAGGGCTGCCCCTCACCTCCTTGCTCAGGCCGGTGGGCTGCTTCCTCACGTTCTTGTAGCCTCTGTAAGGCCGCGCGCAAGCGTCAGGGGAGGCGGGCCTCGCCTCGGCCCCCCTCCCGTCCTCCCCGCCGCGCACCCGCTCCTCGGAGGTCCCCAGCCGCCGGTGCACTCACAACGCTGCCATGAGCGCCTCCTGCTCCGCCTGCCTCACGGCCGCCAGCTCCTCCTCCCGGCTCAGCCCCGCGCCGTCTGCCCGGCCCTTGGCGTACCAGGTGAGGTCGCGGCCCTTCTGCCAGCGGCCCACCGGGGCCATCAGCGAGTTGCCTGCGGAGACAGAGCCGTCCTTGGCCTGAGGGTGGACGAACACCCGAAACCGCAGCCCTGCGCCCGACAGCCCCCGCGCTCACCTAGGTAGTTCTCCCTCTGCTTGTCGGTCTTCACATCCTCCCAGCTGAATTGGTCCTGCCCCCCGCGTACGCCGCCCCGGCTGGAGCCGAACATGGTGAAGGGTCACCCGCCGCCCCCGGACCTTCGGGTCCCGGGGCCGCCTCTTCCCCAGCGGCGCCTGCTTCCGCGCCTACGTCGCTCGCTGTAACGTCATGCCCGCGCCAGCCGCGTCGCCGTTCGCGCCTGCGCACTGCCAACCCCGCGCGCATACGCGCGCAGCGCTCGCGACCGCCAGGGAAAAGCGCGGAAGCTGAACTCGAGCGATCCGTTGGCACTACAGCGGGTATTAAAAGTCACTTTGTGTGACTCCAGGATCCAGGGGCGGTGCCCAAAAGTCACCGTCTCCGTTGTGCGCCATGTGCCGGGCCCAGCAGACAGGCACCCCCGGAGATCAGCTGGGAACACAAGTCTCCAGCTGCACCAAGGTTTCCGCCGTCACGTCCGCGGCTGTGGGAGCCAGGGGCGGCCATGGTGCAGGGACCCTGCTGTGGTCACAGGAGCATGGACGCGCTCGGCACTGCGTTTGTTCTGCAGCAACACCGGGGAGAAAATGCGCCCAGGTCCTAGCGGAGGCTCCGCACGAGCACCTGCTGCTAATTGCTGATGGCTCAGCGGGCTGATCGTTGGACAAATGCATCTCGCCTGTCACCATCGCTGGTCACAGACCAGACTCGGTGATAATGGTCTAATGAATGCAAGGCCCGCTTCGTAGGGTGGCTGCAGACTTGGGACTTCAAACAGTGGCATCCTCCTGCTCTACACAGTCCTTTGTACAGGTTCTTTTACAGGACGCTGCCCTAGCTCACGAGGCCTGTGGATACTCAGCGAAGGGCAATGAAAAGGCTTTACCTGCTCTCCTACCGCCTCCGCTGACTCCCTCACTTGATTTTGAGGGTTTGGGGCTCCTACAGGAACGGTTTGAGCCCCAATCCTGTCGTGCACTAAGTTTGAGCCTCGCTTTCCCCACATGGGAGCTCCAGACCTGTCCTTGAACTTAGGGGCCTCCAGCATGGGACAGCAGGTCCAAAGCCACAGGCATGCCCTTTGCAGGGCCCCAGCTTTGCTGTTGTGGGACACGTGGAGCACCACGGGGTAAATGCGGAGGGTGGGAGCTGTTCCAGAGGCAGTACTGCCATGTCTGACAAGGACTAGATGCTGGTAGAGGGGTGTGAGAGAAGCACTGGGAGCAGCAGAGTCAGCTCTAAGCTTGCTGCCCCACCCCACCCCTATCACCACCTGGGGAAGGCCCAACCCAGGTCTGGATACTGGGGGTCATCAGTGTCCACTGCGAAGTGACTAACTCCCCAAGGCGGGTGAGGTGACGGGGGTCATGGGGAAAGTAGGACGCATCAGAGGGACAGCAGGGAGATCCCACCCAACTAAAGAGTGCACCCGGTACTCTGCTCCACCACTCTCAGGCTCCCCAAAGCTGTCCAACCAGGCCTTGGGCCTCCGGATCCATCTCTACACTGCCAGCTCTGGCAAGAACCCCCACCCTCCATATCTAGTCTGGTTCTTCATTGCCTGTGGACATCTGATTTCTTGCCTGCATTCAACAGCAATCCCGTTACACCTAAAATTAATAATACTAAATATCAACTGTAACTGGAAAAAAATTAAACAAAAAAACCCAACAATCCCATTAGGTGGGTTTAGCCAGAACCTCCATTGGGGTGAGTCCTCTTAGTAACTTCCCATCACCAACCCTGTCCTGCTCCTGGCACAAATCTCCACTTGTCAGAGCAGTACTCAGCCTCTTCCCCCCACTGCACTCACAGCCACGGCCCTACTCTGGGTAAGGCCTGCCTTGCCATCTTCAACAAGTGTCATGAATAACTTGGCCCTGAATACTAAGTACAAACACTGCTGTTGGGCATCTCCCCTGAGGTACTTGGTGAGCAGGGAGTTGGGGCAGCAGCTGGAGAGATAAGGGCTTCAGGGAGATCACCCACGTGGGAACACCCGAGCAGGCTACAGGGCTAGCAGAACCTACAGGGCAGACATCCCCAGGAGGTGCACACAGCCAGCTAGCATGATCAGTGGACCAGCAGGGGAAGGACTGCAGCTAGGATTGGGTGCTCAGCCCAGCATCCTTCCCTGTAAGCTGCCATCAGAGGTAGGGTCACCTCCCACAGGCTGCTGCTTCCCCACTCATGCTTGGAACGCCTTCCCCACGGTCTATATGGCAGCACTCTACCATGGGCCCTCAAGGTTTAAAGAGCCTGACAGCCAGGGTCCCACATTCCCGCACCTCAGGACAAGATGAGGTGCAGGCCTGGGCTGGGTCACCTGCACGTGGAAAGGTTGAGAATTGACCCCTCATGTCTTGCAGGAAGCCTGGCCAACATGAAACTACCCCTAGAGCAGAAGGCAACAGCCCACTGTGGAAAGAAAGTCTGGCTGGTAGGTAAGACCTGAGAGCAGTTAGCAACTGGGCTGGCTGCACCCCTTGGCCCCTCCAATAGGGAGCACCTTCCCACTGCAAGTGGACAGGACTGAGGGAGTCCAGGTGAGGGGCAGGGCAGGCAAGCTACAGGACAGACATGGATGTCCTTGGATCCCACCCACTCCCGTTACTGTACTCACTGGGAGAGGGGGCTCCAGGGCCCAGAGAGGTGGCAGGGAGGTAGCAGGCACTTCCTACAGTGGGAAGAGCACCCAGGACATTGGTCATGTCCACAGCTCATGTGCCCTTTGAGGACCCTCCTAAAACCACAACTTGACCCAACTCTAAGCCCTCCAGGGGGCTTAGTTGCAGAGAGCCCCGCCTCCAGCCAGTGCATGAGAAGGAAAGACTAGGTGGATTTAAAATCCTGACATTCCATTTAAAGGCAAATACCCTTCCCCCTCTGCAGCACCACAGGCCAGGACAGCTTTGGAGCAGGGTCACTTCTTGGTCCAAAACTGCTTGTACCACTCCAGGTCAAAGTTGTCACTTAGCTCCGGCTCCTCTTCCTTTTCTCGGAGCTGGGCCTCACGTTTGCGGAGCCGTGCCCGCCTCTCGTCTGGGGAGAGGGCATCCAAGTCTACCGGCATCTGTGGAGGAAGGTGTGTACTCAGAATGGTCTCCGGACCTCCCCTTCTCTGCCTTCGGAGCTACTCTTTAAAGAAATTTCTTCTGCTTGTTTCCCCGGGATGTGTTTTTTTTCTGCACACAGCCTGCTGCTGCTGTCTGACCTTGGTGGTGGAGTGAGCTGTGTGTCACCCTCCTCCCTCTCCACAACAATCCTGCTCTGTAATTCACCCGCCCTCCTCTCTCCCTTTTAGCCGCAGCGATTCTGAGGCCACTGGGACCTGCACCCCAGGGAGGGAAGCTTACCGCCAGCATCCGTCTGGGCTCCCGGTAGCGGATGTGGATGGTGGAGCCGTCTTGCTTGACCAGAAGCACGGGGTAGAGGCGAGCATAGGCCTGTCTGTGCACACGCGTGAGCGAGGCTCTGCTGCTGTCAGCCCACCAGGCAGACATGTGTAGGCAGCGGCACACAGGGATGGCCCCTGTCACCACACATTGCCGCAGCAGGCTGCAGACATACATGCTGGTCAGCGGCAGGTCAGCTGGACCAGAGCGTCCACGCAGCCCAGGCCAGCAAGCTCATATCGAAGCACACAGTGACCCCCAAGATGTGGAATGTGGTCAGAGCAGCTCCTACCCCATGTCTGGAAAGAAGCTGCAGGGGGTGAGCCCACAAGGCTCCCAGACAGCTAAGCACAGGGGGCTTAGGACAGCAGTCTCGAGATGTGTGGGGCCCTGGGCATGAGCATGGAGCAGGAAGCTGCCTTCCAGAGAAGGCAGACCTGGTGCTGTGAACCGAACGTTTGTGCCCCCAAATTCACATGTTGAAGCACTAACCCCCAATTAGGGGTAGGGCCTTTGGAAGGTGATTAGGGTTAGATGAGGTCATAAGGGTAAGGCCCCCACAGTGGGACTGGTGCCCTTATAAGGGATAGGAACTCGCTTGCTCTCTATGCCCTGTAAGGACACTGGGAGAAGGCGGCTGTCTGTGAACCAGGAAGAGACATCTTCAGAACCGTGGAAAATAAGCTGCCTGATCTTTGATGTTCTGTTGGGGCAGTCTGAGCACACCAAGACCCCTGGAGGCCACTCAGCTTATGAACACAGTAGACACTGAGACCTGCATATGGCAGAGTGCATACTCCAAGGTGACAGGAAAGGGCAAGGCCCTGCCCCCCACCTGTCTCTTATCCACTTGGGGCCTTGCCCTGTGATCCCCAAAGTCCCCTCCAGTCTGGCTTTCAAGCAAATTTGGATTCAGACCCATCCCTTGTACTTCCCAGCTAACTCCAAGGGCCCATCTCTTCTGCTAGACTCTGATGGCTGGCAGGCAATAACTGCATCTTATTTAAGTTCCAGACCCTGAGCTGAGCACTCAATAAATTTTGCACTCAATGAATCCAGTCCCTGCCTTCAGAAGTGCAAGACAGGAGAGGAGAAAGGAGATGGTGGTGTCTTCCCACAATAACAGTGGTTCCCACTTGAACCTTTCCCAGGATGAGGGCCCTCCAGGGAACACTGCTGCCAGAGTCCCTTCCCCTCTTCACACTGACTCAGGCTTCAAGTGCTGCATCCCTCTTCCCATATTCCACAGAAACAAAAGGAACCTGCCCTCGTTCCTTCCTCTGGCAACACTGACCACACCATGCTTCCTATTTTGGGGAGGCCAGAGAACAAGGGCAACGGGAGATGGGAGGCAGTTACGGTGGGAACAGCAGGAAGGGCATGGCCTTCTACAGGGACCCAGAGTTGGGCTAGGCTGCAGGTTCTGAATAGGAAGATGACCACCAACACTGTTTGGTGCTGAGAACTAACAATTAGCTTCCATTCTTCCCTTGACACCCTATCAAGGCATCCATACATGTGAACTTGTGCGTATTGTCCAAATAAACACACTGGCTCAGGAAGCTTCCTTCAGGCAGCACGGCCTGAGGCTCCTGAGTGGGCATTCCTTTAGGTGGCCCCATGACAGCAATCCCAAGGGGTTTGGAAGTTTGTGCTTACCCAAGCAGGCTGCCTATGGCTGCCATTCCTCCTGAGGGCCCCTGAGGCATGTGGAGGCCCAACGTCAGTCACTGGCCCAGCGTGTGACCTGCTGGATAAGGAAATCTTTTTAACAGGCAGTCTTTTCTACCTAATTGATCCTCCTCAAAGCCGAGCCAGGAAGAAAGCCACAGACCCAAACAAGCGTGTTATCACCGTGCCACTGTCAATCTCTTGCAGTAACCTATCAAGCTCTCAGCCCTGTCCTATGGAAGGTTTGTGAACAGCAGATGCCCAGGTTCTACTCTCAAAAGATCATGACCGAGTACGTCTGGGCCGGGGCCGGGTCCGTTCTCGTGGGTTACAAGTCAGAGAGCTGCTCTGAGGATGGAGTGCAACGTATACGGAGGTTGGCTCACACCTTGTTTTCCAAGGTCATGTAATTCTCACAAAACCCAGTGAGGTAAGGATTATAAAAAGGGAGCCGTGGCTTAGGGCCACTCATACTAAGCCCTGAACCCCAGGGAAGCATATGTACTGAGGTTTCCGCGACAAGCCCCAGGAGTTTCAAAACCAAATGCCTGAGGTCTCGGCATTCAGACCCCAGGAGACGAGCCCTCCCGGCCGACACGTACGGGTTTGCCTCACTGTCCCCTATCTGTCAGAGCACGGCATCTGCAGGCCTCCCTTTCCCTTAGGAGGTGAACCGGTAGGAGAGAGAAATGCTGCAAGCTTCCCAAGCGGATGCCGGCGAGGCCAGGACCCTCCCTCGGGGAATTCCTCGCTACCCGCACAACGCGGCACCAACCTGCCACCCTCACTGAGCTCTGGCGCAGCCTCGAGTACCAGCGGATCGGCCGCGGCTGCGCACAGGGTCGCTGCGGAGTCAAAGCCCGCCCTCCTGCTGCGCGGCCGCACGTTATCCTCGAGCGCTGCGTCGCACGGCGCTGACGACAGCCCAGAAAGGCGGAGCCGGCAGGATGCTGTGATGTACTTGTCCGCGGGCGTAGGTGGGCCGGCGCAGCGCTGACGTAGGCCCTTCGGTGGAAGCGGGCTGGCGCGTTGCTGTGACATAAGTTCGGCGGCGGCGGTACCTCATGCTGCGGCGCCCGCTGGCTGGGCTGGCGGCGGCCGCCCTGGGCCGCGCCCCCTCGGGCGGTGAGTGGTGTCCCTTCCCGCGAGGGGCGGAGCGTCCGGGCACGCGCAGGTTCCGGAAGCCTTGCTGGGCGCCGCCGCGTTCACCTCTGTCCCTGAACCTGGGGCGGCGCTACACGCGTGCCTCAGGGTGCGTCAGGGGTCCTCCTGGGGTAGCCGCTGGAACTGCCCCCGCGGTCCTCAGTGGTTCCCAGGGCCGGCTCGTCGCAGAGTCCCAGCGAGCAAGGCGGGGGACAGGAGGACAGAATAGCGCGGTTTTTCAAGCAGGTGAATTGACTTCATTTAAAGGGTCGCCCTTCGTTTTGAAGTTGTGTTCTGTGTGTTTGTGTGTCTAGGTGTTAAAGTTGCATTTGGTAGCTATTTTTCTTAGGCACATTAAAGCTGGCTCCCCTGTGTCAGTTCTGAAAACGTAGGACGAAACTGGCACGGGAAGCTCAAGACAGCTTGTAAAACCCTTGCAGCCTGAGGACTTCATGCTGGATGCCATTGTGGACCTTGAAAGATGCGGAGGGGAAGAGAGGGGAAGCAGCTTGACACTCCTCCCCAAGGTGGGCAACGCAGCAGAGCCGAAAACCTTGGGAGATCAGGGTTCCGAAGGCCATTACGTGGCCGACTGAAGGGCCTCGTATGGCAGAGTCCCCACACTCCTCGCACAATTTGTGGAGCCTGTAGAAACGTGTGGTGTTGTCCCTGAGCTCAAAGGAAACCGTTTTGGCTCTCCAGCTGTCGTGTTAGGTTTAGGCCCCACCACAGATTGCAAACAGAAGAGGTTCCTGGGCTTGTGGAGCTGACTGCTCCGAGGACCCTCGGGACTGCTGCTGGTTCCTGGACTGCCCCACGGCCCAGCACGGCCGAGCAGTGCAGATTCATATACTCTGCCCAAAAGCAGGGGGTTGGCCCTCTGGACTTGCTGGCGTGGTAATTTGATGTTCAGCTTCCCTCAAGCCCAGAGACCTCAAGTCTAGGTTGCTGATACTGCCCCCTCTGCTGTTCTGACATTCTTCTAGGAGCATAGAGGGGAGTGAGCCTAGTTCATCCAGGTGCTGGTTTGGGGAAGAGCAGTGAGGCATGTCACCTTACCTGTTATCACTGTTGTCTTTCACTGGGAGAGAGGGAAGGTATAAGCTGAGGTGACAGCTGGCCAGTGTGAGGTGGGGCCCACAGGGACAGGAAGGGAGGGGGGACCAAAACTTGCCCCTCCTGGTCATCCTGGTGTGAGTTCCCTAGGCAGCACGCATCCCAAATATGGCCTTTTCTGGAATTTTCTGTCACTCTTAGACCTTCCAGACCATGACTTGTTGTGAGGGATCCAGGAAAACCTTCTACTTCACCACCGGGAGGGATCTCGGACGGGTGGGGTTTCCTGACTTATCACTGACAAGCTAAATTTTCTGCCAGGTGAGTCCCCATTCTACCCTTGCTGATAAGAACACCACACACCTGTGACAGGTGCAGTGTGCCTGGGATTTGTTGAATTCAGTTCTGTTCACGTGGACCCGACCCTTGACCTTTGGCTGGGACAGGTGATATCAGCAGTTTCCTTGAGTAGCAGATTGCCGGCGTTCTAATGGTGCTCTCTCAGTACCTTTCTCTTCAGCCACACCCACACTCTTCTTTTTTTTTACACCTAAACTGTAAACTTCCACATTTTGCGCCATATTCAGCATAGCACAAAAAACACGTTCAATCGATTAGAAGAGGAGCAGAAATGAAGGGGTGTTGTGATGTGGTTGGGGGCAGTGTGACTCTTCCCAGCAAGAAGGAAAGGTTAGTAACGAGGGTGAACAACTGGGATCACTGGTTTACTGGTTTGGGGGCAGGCACTTCTGTAGTTGGTTCCGGATCACCACTGACCCTGAATGTCCTGGAGACCTCAATCTCCCCTGGTCCCCGCTGACCCTGCGTGTCCTGGAGACCGCGGTCTCCCCTGGTCCCCGCTGACCTGCATATCCTGGAGAACTCGGTCTTCCCTTGTCCCTGCTGACCCTGCATGTGCCCGGATTCGGTCTCCCCTGATCCCTGCTTATGCTGCGAGTGCAGGTATGGGCTTCACCTCTGTGAGGCCAAAGTTGACCCCCTAGGGGTCCTGGGATCCTCCTGCTTCATCGCTTTCTTGCCTGGGACCCTTTCCCTCTGTGATTCCTCTGCCCTCTGCCTGTGGGGCAGAATTGGGATCTGATACAGGGTCAGCAGGGACCAAGGGAGAGGGAGGCCCTGGTGCTTCTTTTTTATGGAAAGAACCAGATGTGGCACGCAGCACCGAGACAGGCCTGAGTCCTGCACTGGGTGGCTCTTGCCCATACTTTTGAAGGCCCAACTTCCTCTCAGGAGAGGAACAGTCACGCCCTACTCTGGGGAGAAGTGAGAAGGAAATGGCTGGCCATTTTGTGGCTGTCCTAGTTCAAGCCAAAGGCTAAGTGGTTTGTCAAGGCTGCTTTGGCCGGGACGTGTTCCATACGCTGTGGGCAAGGCCAGCTAGTTCTCCTGCCTCACATGGCCTGTGTGGAGGTGGGACTTGACCTTTTCTCCCTATGTTCTCACACATCACACCTTGTCTTGTGTGTCTTGTGGAGGAGCAGGGAGGGAGATAGGATGGTGACAGTGCCTGGCCCTTGGGACAGGGCGGGTTGCAAGTAGAAACGGGAAAGAGGAGGTTCTACCTCATGCTTCTAGAAAAAATCCGCCTGGCTGCGTGGGACACTCTTTGAGCAGGGGTCCAGTGGAGAATGTTCTAGAACTCACGGGCTTGCATCCCTGATCCTTATTGAGCATTTCCATTTCTTGCCAGATAGCTGGGGTTTGGGATTGTGGGATAGTCAAGCAGTAAAGGACACAGAACTCCCCTGGATGGAGGGCTCTGTCTCCCCAAGAGATGACCTCTCAGACTTGCATGTTTCCATCGGCCAGTTCTGCAGGCACTGGAACCAGCTTCAGGTTCCAAGTGCTTGATCGCTGGGGCCACAAGGCCTAGAGTGCCATCCCACGGTGTGCTATGGAAAGTGGCTTTAGTGATCACTCTCTCACGGTGGTCACTGCACAGAGCCCCATCTCTAGCGGCTCCCCGAGGGCTTCTACAGGGTCTGGCCACCCCAGTGTGTGTGTGGGCCAGCGCTTGTGCTCTGGGAGCCCACCTAGGAGCAGGAGTCTACTCCGTGGGCCCCACGGGGTAAGACTCAGCACATGCCCTTGACCAGGGTGAACCCCACTACCTCAAGACCAGAGTGGGGCAGGTGTCTTCCACCCCACTATGATAATGAGAAGAGGGTAAGAGGGCACTGGGGGGCCTGGAGCTTGGACTTGATGTAGGTGGGGGTTCAGGAGAACACCCTGTGAGGAGCGCCTGGGGTGCAGTGATTCGGAGCCAGGCAAGGGGTAAGCTTTGCGGCCACCAGCCGATCCTGTGTGGGTGTACCCACTGCTTACCACTGGCCCAGTGCAGGCAGGTGGTGGGTCAGGAGCTGAGGCTCCCCCCCCGGGCTAGTGGTGTGGCTCAGTGGGACAGGCTCCCCTGCCCCTGAGTCATGGCACAGGGTGGAGGGTGCAGGATGGAAACCAGTGTTAGGATGTTTGGACAAGCGGGAACTGTGCCGCACGCCCCATGAGGGTGTCAGGCAGTGAGACTTGGTGTGTGGTGGTTGGTTCTGACTGAGGACGAGTCTTCCCATGTAGGTTTGTAGTCCTCAGGTGTCACAGCTCACAGCCAGGAGGTGTGGCAGGAACTGCCGGAGAAGCATGCTGGAAAAGGAGCGGTGGGTGCTGCTGGCGGGGTTACAGCTGGGAGCTGGGGGTTGCCCATGGGGTGTGGGGTGCAAGGGCAGGGCATCGCCCATGGCAGGCACAGGACAGAGCAGGGTGTCCATGAGGGTCTTCTGTGCAGGCAGGAGGGATGGGCCACCCTCCCTTCCCCATGCTCCCAGCCCCCGGAGGACGCCTCCCCATGTTCCTGATGGGGGGTGGGGGGCCTTTGGGTTCTCCCCTCCCTAGAGGTGGATGCCCCAAGTGCACCCACTGGGTTGAGGGTTTGCTGCCATGATCAAGGCTCAGGCAGGCCTCTTGGTCCGTCGCTGGGGCCATCGCCATGCGTTCACTTGGTGCTGCCCCTGCCTTGGAAGAACTCATGTTCTGACACACCATCAGGGCCAGGAGATCTGGGCCACTGGACAACCACAGATGCCTGGCCCGAGGGGCAGGGACTTTGCACTGTCCAGAGGCTGGGCAGTGTGTGGGGCAGACCCCAGCCTCCTCAGCCCCTCTTGGGACCTGGTGGCTTCCAGCATCTCCTCTGCCGTCCTGTGTTCCTCCCTCCACCCCGCTAATGTCACTCTATGCCTGGGAAGTCAGAACAGACCCAGAGGAGTGGGCTGGGTTGCCCATGGGACATCCATTCTGAAAAAGACGGGGCTTTGTGAAGGGCGCCACTGAGGAAGAGATGAGACATTCCCCACCCTCACCCCCACCAACAAAAGTGTGATTCCTGCACGTTTTTCTCATTAACATACATCTTCATTTTCTCCTGCTACAAGTGCCACTCATGCCACCCTCACCCCCACCCCCTCCCCCACCATGCACCGCGGGCCTCAGGGCAGGGACAGGGCTAGGGCTGTACTCTGCTAGCTGGCAGTGGCCATGGGCTTAGAGCCAGATGCACGTGTGTGCAAGCATTTATGTGGCGTGTGGTGGCACCTGTGTCTGGGGGTAAAGCCAGGACACCAGAGAGGAGCTGGGAGCCCAGTGGGATCATCGCTGGATAGAAACAAGGTACTCTTGAGAAGGGAAACTCACAAGAGGTCAAAGAGCTAAGAGTCAGATGCTTAGAGATGACACTCAGAGTGTTGATGGGTTCCTCTGGGTCCCTTCTTTCTCTGTCTTTTCCCCACATTCTTCTCCAGGGAGCATGTGTGTATCGTGATGGCCCCAGAATAGCAGTGCTTTAGCAGGATTAATTACCCAGTTAGCCTATATTGCAGATTAGGAAAGCAGTGCCTGCTGGGGGCCCTGCTGAAGAGCTGCCCTGGGCTGGGTGACTGGGCATCCCTCAAGCCGAGTAGTCCATGCCTCCTGGACCTTATTGCCTGTCTGCTGGCCACTGACTGTGCCTTGGGGACCTCCATGCCTTACCAGGATCTCCCATCCGCCCTGCAGGGCCGGGCCAGCATAGGGAGCTGCTCCAGCTCCCACATACCCTCCAGGAGTCTCCCGCTGGGGCAGGTCACACCCACTCCTGGCCTTCCTGTCATCATACTTACGTGACTGGACGGACAGGCTGCTTCTCCAGGGCCAGGAGCAGCCTTTTCTTCCACATGAGTGGGCAGTGCTGACTGCCCTGGGAGGGGTTTAGTGCTAAGAGGCAGGAGCAGGCTGGGATTACCAACCCCTCCCAACTGATCCAGAGCAGCCCAGGCTGAGGGAGGTGGCCACACCCCACTCAGGATGTGGGTCCTGTTCTGAGGAGGGGGCTGGGAGTATCAGGTGGGCACAGAGCTGCCTGGGCCCTTGCCCCTCAAAGCCCCCTCCTCCTGTTCTACTCTGTGGCAGGTGTCTGAGCTCTGTGCTGTGGGCTGGGAGGGGACCACCGCTGCCTTCCTGCTGGCTTTCCAGAGAGTATCAGAGAGGAGGGGAGCCAGGAAGCTGTGGTTCCTCAGTGTCAGCCCCTTGCTTCCTGATGGAAGTTCCCAAAACAGGTGTTGGGCTCCGCTGACCTTGACCGCATCAGCCTCTGGGGCATGGTGCCAGGAGACGCAGGGGTGGGGACCCAGATGTGCCCCTCCCAGGAATAGAAGACCAGGCTCCCCAGGTGGGATCGGAGTAGACAGCTGGGGAGACCATGCGTTGGTGTTACCAGGTAGCCTGCCCCTCAGGGAGGTGCAGCTAGGGCTTGAGTACCACCTCCAGCTTCACCCAATTCCTGGGGCAAGTTGGGGGGGGGGGTATGTGTGCGGCTGCAGCCACTCCACCCCCTGGGTTCCTGGGGTCTACTGATAACTCCCTGTCACACCCACAGGGATGTCAGGACCAAGGCCTGTTGTCCTGAGCGGACCGTCGGGGGCCGGGAAAAGCACCCTGCTCAAGAGACTCCTGCAGGAGCACAGCGGCATCTTTGGGTTCAGCGTGTCCCGTGAGGCCCTAGGGATTTGGGGGGCCTTGCTGATCCCTCTGAGCCCCCACACATGGGGATGTCCCCACAATGCTGACCCTTCCAGGAGCCCCCCTTCACACACACGGGACGAGCCCACACTGCCGAACCCCTAGATCCCCCTGCAGCCCCACACACGGGCTATGCTTAGCCCTGCGAGGAGGCCCTGGGGATGGGATGTGTGGGCTCTGGGTATCCCTGGGTCACAGGTGCTTGTTCCTAGACACCACGAGGGACCCGCGGCCCGGTGAGGAGAACGGCAAAGGTGAGCTGGCCTTGCTGCCCCAGTGCAGGTCTGGAGCTGCCCCCACCCCATGTCTGAGGCCTGTCGCGGTGATGCATGAGGTCTCAGTCTCCCCATCTGATGGTGGCCCTCCTCCAGGGTGGGTGAGCGGGCCCAACTAGGTAATAGGCATCAAAGCAGTGCTGGCGCCAGATGTCCATGTGAGAGGCTGGTGGGGGCCTGATCCCAGCACTAGGCGGCTATGGGGCTCTGCTCTAGGCCTGTGCACTGCATTTCGCATGGCCATGCAAGTGAAGTCATAGCCATGCACACCATATAGGGCTCTCTGACATCACAAGTATCTTCTGTAACCTCAGTAGGGCATTTGTGCCTGCCTGAGGCAGAGCATCCAAGTCCCCCCAACCTGTCCCACTGAAGCTGGCGGTCTCCAGGCCCCCTTCAATGAGGACAGTGTGAGAAGTAGTATCTGCATGTCCGTCCCTCCTGAGACATCTACCTGCCCAGTGGCTGGATTGGCCTTCATTGTGGATGTGGATGGGCAGACAGGCCCAAGCCGAAGCTGCCTCTGGCTATGTGTGCTCCCACGGGCCCTGGTGGCCTGGCTGTGGGCAGCCTCAAGGGCTCCTGCTCCTTGCAGATTACTACTTTGTGACCAGGGAGGTGATGCAGCGGGACATTGCTGCCGGAGACTTCATTGAGCACGCTGAGTTCTCAGGAAACCTGTATGGGACCAGGTGGGCGGAGCTCGGCACCCTCCCTCCCAGCCTTCCAGAGACCTAGAGTGGGCAGCCCCAGCAAGGCTTCTCTCTTTAGGCTGTCGGGGTGAGGACCCAGCCCCTTCAGGGGTTGAGAAGGGCAGCTGTCAGGGTTCTCCAGGCCTGCCCCTCCTGGCCTGCCCAGGCCCACATGGTCAGGGCACTGTGGGAACAGGGCAATCCCAGGGGCTGGTGTACAGTCATGATGGAGAAGATCTGGGTCTAAGAAGTCTACAGGCTGCACTGCAGCCCCCCTCCCACCCTCCTAGGCCCAGCAGCAGCTGCCCCCCACCCCACACCTACACCCAGAGCCGTGTCATTACACAGGCAGGCCCAGGCTTGCTGTGCAGCAGCCTGTATCAGAGCCCCATGGAACCATCAACTCCAACCCAAGTGCAGCTGGGAAGGGCAGTCAGCCTCCAAAGTGGGCCGCTGGCGCTGCTGTTCCCCTTAGATGGCTGGTGCTGGAGCCCTGAGCCCCGCCCAGAGCCCAGCAGAGGGCCTTGAATGCAAGGGTTGCTGGGGCAGTGCTTTCAGAAAGGGGGAGCAGATGCCGGGGTCGGGTGGGCCCCTGAATACCCCCCTCCCCAGCCAGGCCCAGAGCAGGGAGTGGGGGAGGCAGTAGCCCTGGGGACCGGCAGTGGAGGCAGTGGGGATACTAGAGGCAAGCCCCAGCTGAGCGGCCCCTCCCCCATCCCCAGCAAAGCGGCCGTGAGCGCAGTGCAGGCCATGAACCGTATCTGTGTGCTGGACGTGGACCTCCAGGGAGTGCGCAACATCAAGAAGACAGACCTACAGCCCATCTACATCTTTGTGCAGCCACCCTCGCTCAATGTCCTGGTGGGGGCAGGGAGCCTGGGACTGGTGCAGGGTGAGGCAAGGAGGGGCGGGGCTGCCCTGTAGGCTCTGACCCTCCAGTGATCCTCTCAGGAGCAGCGCCTGCGCCAGAGGAACACGGAGACAGAGGAGAGCCTGGCTAAGCGGCTGGCCGCTGCCCAGGCAGACATGGAGAGCAGTGAGTGCCTGACCAGTGTCCTCCACTCTCCCTGATCGCGGACTGACTCACCCACCAGAGGGGGGAGGGCAGGAACTGTTATTCATAGCCTCCCACCCCTCATTGAGCCTCCCCCGCCCCCAGGCAAGGAGCCAGGCCTGTTTGACCTGGTCATCATCAACGACAGCCTGGACAAGGCCTACTGGGCTCTGAAGGAGGCACTCTCCGAGGTGAGCTGAGGGGGGTGGGGGCTAGGCCTCTGTCTCTGCAGGGATAGGCCTGGGACAGGGGACTTGTGGCCCGGGCCCTGGGCAAGCCCCTCTTCCTCTCTCTCCTGCAGGAAATCAAGAAGGCTCAAGGGACAGGCCACTCTTGAGGAGGCTGCCAACTGGTTCTCCTTGGACAGGACCCTGCACCCACCCTGGCAGCCAGGGTGCCCCCAAGAGGTGTTTCTGCCTGTGTCATTCACCCCGCCCCCATGCCCATTTCTGGGTACCCCCTGCTCAGTCCCCCTCTCCTGTAGGAGCTGGTCCTGTGTCATAATAAAGAGCTGCTGGTTAGTGTCCTTGAGCCCATGGATCGCCACCCTGGCCCTGCCCTGCTCACACCAGACCCCTGCTCCTGGCAGCCCCGTCCCGGCCAGTCCCAGGAGGGCTGGGAGCATCACTTACACACACACACACACACACACACACACACACACACACCCGCATTGGGGCTGCTCCAGCCTCACTACTCCCGGGGCTCCCCACTCCCCTGCTCCATGTCAGAGAGACCAGCAGGGGCTGCCTTGGTGAGGGAGGGGTCCCACAGGGTTGGGCTGCTTCTTGGTGGGTGTGCCCCCCCCCCAGGGAGTAGGTGGGGCTGCCAGGGAGCACATGCCTCATCAAGGTAGCTTGAGTCTGGGGAGACAAGGCCCTGCTCCAGCCACCCTTCCTCCTGGTCGCTATCCAGGCTGGGGGTCGCCAAGGGACAGATGCTGCTAACCTGGGAGCTGGGCTGAGACTTAAGGGACTGGACCCCTGCGTCATGGGGTCCTGTATGTGCCATATATGCTTTCAGCCTTATGCACAGCCCACTGAGTCCAGCTGACATGATGGTCTGGGAGAGGCTAGCCCAGGAAGGACACCTGGAGGCCTCTGTTGAGGTTCCAGGCTCCCTGGAGTCTGAGAAGACACCTCCAGTGCTGCTCGTCCTGGGCCGCAGCAGCTGTGGTGTAGTGGTCTGTATCCAGGCCACGCTCCTGCGATGGGACCAAGACACATTGGACACAGACCCTGAGGAAGCAGGGAGCCCAGGCGGAAGTAGTGGCGGGGGGACTGGGTGTCATCCAATATCCCAGATGCATAGAGGAGGTCTGGAAGGAGCCAGGCCTGGATGTGGGACAGTAGGCAAAGGTGCTGAGCAGCCCCCCAAGTCCAAGAGCAGGTGAGGCAGGGCCGGGCTGCGTCCCAACACATGGTACTTCCTGGGTGAGGCCTCTTCCCTCTCTTGGCCCCCCTCCCTGTACAGTCCCAGGGACAATCGGGGATTCAGACCCCAGGCCCTGGGGGGAACAATAGGGCCCTTGAAGGCCCTCCCCCTGCATTGTGCTTGGTGGTGAGAGGTGGCCCTGGGTCAGGCCCTGGACTCTGCCAAGTGCACACCCTTGGAAGCCAGTGTCCAACTAGCCAGCAGGTGGAAGGTCTCAGAGGGACTTGCATTTTCTGGCCTGAAAAAGGTAGGTTGCTATCTAGGGAACCAGGTTTGGGGTACCTTTTGTGGCTGAGTCATGTCACCCTCCACTCTAGGCAAGAGTCTCGGGTCTGCACTGGCCTCTCCTGAAACAGCAGGCCCCAGGAAATGACAGGCAATGGGCATGGCTGAGTGTGCCTCCATTCCGGGGGGTCTGTCTCAGGCCCACTTCTCTAACGGACAGGTCCTGATTTGCAGGGTTTTCTGCGACAAGAAGACCCGCCGTGTGGGTGAGGGTGGGTGGAGCTGTGGGGGCTGCTCAGTCTGGCTGGTGAACAGGGAAGGAGGGGCTGTGCACCCAGCACCTCCCTCAGCAGCTGCGGCCCCTCAGGCTGTGCAGGACTGGCCAGCCCACATCAGTCAGGCAGCTGCAGTGTGTCCAGAGGCTGGGGCCTTGGGCTGTTCAGGCCTGGGGGAAATCTGAGAGCCCCACCCCTATATGTGGGCAGACAAGCGGGGTGGGTACACCTGCCCGCCCCACACTGCTCCTGACCCAGCCTCAGCTAACCTCAGCATAGCCTGGGGTTTCCTTTAAGCCCTCTTGGGCACCTGCTGGGTTCCAAGTCCTTAGGTCTGAGCCTGAGGGTCAGTAGAGAGCAGAACAAACCCCTATCCTCCAGGAGGATGTGTTGCAGGCATGGTAAGTGAATTGTCGGGGTCGTGGGGTCAAGGATGGGAAATGGAAGTGGACAGGGGTTCCGTCAAGGGAAATCAAGGCCAAGAGGCAGCAGCCAATCCGTGAATGGCCAGGGCTGCTGCCCTGAGGAGGGCTGCGCCTGCCAGAGAGGGCAGGTGGAGGGGGGGATGCCTGGGCTGCACTGGGCTGTGGGGGGAGCAAGTGGACTAGGCAGAGGGGAGGGGGTGTCAGAGAAAAAGGAGTAATGCCATGCTATGTTTTGAGAAAGGCACCAGTGGTGGTTTTACCCAGGGCAGTTTGGGAGGTGAGGGGTTTAGGAGGTGTGGAGAGTGTGGACACCCTTCAGGGGTGAGGGCTCTGCATCCTGCCCTGGGCCCACTGCCTGAGGAGGCCTGGTGGGAACATAGGCCTGGCTACTGGAGTTGTCTGGGCCCTGCCACCATGACTCACTCCCCAGGCCCTCCCCAACTATATCTCCACCCTTTCGGGAGGACATCCTCTCACTTCCCTGTTCCAGGGTCCCAGCCTCAACAGAGAGAGTCCCCTGGGTCCTCAGTGTGTTCTCTGCCTTGTCAGTGACCCCTGGAGCCCAGTGACCTGCACTTGGTGGCCTTGGGAGGGAACAGGTCTCCGCCCCAGGTTTACCCTCCCACCCCAGAGCTCAGGAGTCTGTTCACCCATCTGCATTTGCTGAGCATGCAGTGGGGGCTCCTTGCCCTCCTGATATGGAGGGCGCTTCCCAGAGGGAGTGCCAGTGCACGTGAGGGTATGCATGTGTGAGTCCAGACATGGGAGATGCCAGCCCTGAGGACCCTGTGAGTTTGAGGGTTTTGACAGAGCCCGGGCTCCCTGAGCCTCAACCCAGTGGGGCGTGTGACCCTCCTTGGGTTGCTGGGAGGTGGGCAGCTGTGGTATGCACTTGATGTGGCAGAGGATCCCCAGGCCTAGGGTTTGGGTCCTGGGCAGCCCAGAGTCCAGGTGAAACACAACTGAGGCATCCAGGGTCCCAGGGAGGGACATGGAGGACAACCACACAGGACAACCACAGAGCTGACAAGGGGAGACCTGGGGCGAGTGCTAAGGTCATGGGAGGTGGACCTGCAGCCCCAAGCCTGAGTGAGGACTGTTCCCCCAGAGCTCCTCAGCGGGCAGGCCCTGGGCTCCAGCTGCGGCCTCAGCCTCGTAGGACAGAGCCGCCTTGAAGTCCTGGTGGTTGTTAGTGTGGACGATGGCTGCCAGTGCCAGGCACGTGGGGGTCCCTGTGTCTTCAGGGACTGGAAGAAGCAGCCTGAGACTGGAGTTCCAATGCCGGAAGGTTCCCAGGGCAGGGTCCCCACAGGCTTTGGGAAGCTGAGTACTGGGGCCCTGCCCACAACCCCACCTCAGTGGAGGAAGTCCCGCCTTGGACCTGAGGGACACTAGGAGGAAGTGGGGCCAGAGATGGGAAGGATATTGCTGGACAGGCCCCAGCCTGCTGCACTGCAGAATGGTGCTGGGCTGGCCCTGGCTGGCAGCCCTGCTGGCCTCCCCAGAATTTTTGCTCAGATGGGGCAGGGGCGGGGGGTCATGAATTGGGGAGAGTCCAGCTACCCCCCTTGCATAGGCCACTACAGTGGGCCTGGACCAGGAGTGGCAGGCCAGCTCTCCCCAGGATGGGCCATCCTGATGTCCACTGGAGTCCATAGTGCCCTCCTCCCAGTCAAGGGCCTCCCTTCAGGCTCTCTGACCAGCTATAATGGGGAGCCCCTGTTTGTGCCCATACTGGCCCTGCAGTTCCCTCACTCCCTTAACCCCACACCCTTGCTGACCACTCCCAGGCCTGCCCCCTCCCAGGCCCTTCCCCGCAAGCCTCATCCTGGATCCCTGAGTGGCCCCAACCTACACTTGTTCTGACCCATAGCTTGAGCAAGATTCTCTGTGAACAAAGATTCCTGCAAACCCTCTGGGGCAGATCCCTTGAAGGGCCAGCAACCCTCCCGCATGAAGCAGGCCCAGCTGAATCACTGCTGGCCACAGTGCCCCAGCAGCACTGACAGCCATGTGGGCAGCCTGTTCCCACCCCTCTGCAGCCCAGGACAGGTCACCAGTCAAAGCCCCTACTCAGTGCTTGCAGCCTCCTGACAGACCAATACACGCCAAGCAGGAGGAAAATACAAGGAGACAGGGCTCAGGGTGGTGGGTAGGAACTATTTTAATTAAGGTTTTTATTTTACAAATCTTGTGGTTTACAGAGAAGTTGTGGAGACCAGGGAGAGTTCCCATGTGACCTCCCATGTCCATTCCCGTGGCATGCTTGTCACAATCAATGCACCCATAATATGCTGTCAAAACTTCCCCTAGATTCCTGAGTTTTCCCATGACCTTCGCTGCCCCTTGTCACACAACACCCGCCCCCAAGCAGGACCACACACAGCAGGTGGCCCGCACTTCTCCCCTGGGTCCCCTCCAGGGCACATCGCAGCATGCAGACCTCGGGTCTTCTTGGGTCTCAGATCCCCTTGCCTGACACCTTTGGCTGTCAGTCAGGTATGTTGTAGGAGACCCTTCTGGAACTTGTCTCCTGTTGCCTCATGGTCATCTGGGTTGAAGTTTAGGAGGAAAGGCAGCAGGAACAGTCCCTTCTCACATCATAGCAAGGTCCATGCTCTCAACTGGCTTTTCACTGCGGGTGGAACCTGGCCCTGACCTGAGGTGACATCTACAGGTTCCACTCTCCCCTCCTTGCTACAACGTTCTTGAAGGGGCGCTCTGGGCATCCAGCCCTGAGGAACGGAGAGTTGGGCTCCTCTCCTGGAGGGCACAGTGGCTGCAAAACTACTTAGAATTCTCCCCCATTTAATTATTCAATCATTTGTATCAGTGGGGACTCATTTTATACTGTGGTAATAATCTATAACCCAATCTCTATTACTACTTTATTCACTCTACTTCCTAAAATGACCTGGCTTCAGACACAGGGAGCTCTTCGGTGAGCTCCTGCATTGCTTTGCATGTCCCTGTCAGCATGTGTGTGTGTGCACACACACTAGCACCTCCTTAGTCTGGCACCACCTGGTGCTCCAGATGTGTTTTCTTTCCTGAAAACCTCCTGCCCTGGAACCAGCCATTTCTGTTTCTCTGAGCCCAGTTCCCTTTACTGGGGAGTGGGATAGAGGTGTGTTAAGGGATGTGCTAAGAGAGGTGTTAAGGGAGTGTTAAGGGATGTTTTTTATTTAGGCCTTTCAGCTGACAGGCAAGGAAATACAGAGCCCTGTACATGCACGTGTGTGTCTGTGACATTCTCTAGGAAACCACCCGTGCCCAGCTTTAGCTGAAGGAGGGCTCAGATCCATGTCTCCAATGCTAACCTGTAACCACGTGGAACATGCCAGCCCCTGCTGTTGCCTGTCTATAGCCCCCACACAGTGAGGACTGAGGCCCTTCCCATTCCCCAAGGTTCAGTCCCCATGTGCAAGCAGAGGTGTGTGTGTTTGTGGTGGAGGGGCATAAGTGTGTGCAGGGTCAGCATGCCAGGGGTACAGCAGAGGCCCTGGAGGGGTGGGCTTGGCCCATGAGCAGCAAGATGGGGGTGCAGGTCCTTGGTGCTGGGGGCAGATGTGCTTGGCATTTTACTCCAAAGGCTAGAGAGACCGCAGAGCTCAAAAAGGTCCGTGGGCTTCCTAAGGTATCTGCAGAGTGAGTGCAGGCCCTGCAGGGTCACATCCAGGGTTTGCTGATGGGCCCAAAGGAGTGCGAAGCAGAGAGCTGTCCAGGACAGGCCCGCCTGTGTTAGAAGCTGCTCTGGGGGGAGATATTTGGGACTGGTCCTCTGGAGTTTTCGGCGCCTGCCAATGTCCATGTGCCTGGTCAGGAGGCCGTACTGGCTGAAGGTGTGGATTTGGGGACACCTTCTATGGCACTGAGACCAGGGTGGGGATCTTCCAGGCCAGAACTGATCAGTGCCAGCCCCCTGACCACGGAATGACTGTGCATGTGTGACACAGGCCCTGCACACAGGTATGCAGCATGTGGACATACACCCTGGTCTGATGAGCCAGAGCTTTTGCCCCTACCCAGAGGCTGCCTGAACTCCCCCACGTCGCTGGGGGGAGGGAAAGAGGAGGTTCGCCCTCTCCCCACTCTTGCTGCCCAGGATGACCCCTCAGCTGACTGCCCGCAGGGCCACTCTCATCTGCCCTCTTCCTCACATGTCTGGTCTCTGGGGCCCTGACTGCACCTGCACAAGCCCCCAGGGCACAGCGCCATCCCTCACCCCCAAGGCAGGATCCAACCCATGCAGAGTTAGAGCCCGTGTGGCAAGTCCCCTGCCACGTCTCCTGAGTTTGTCTTGGGCTTGGGGAGAGCATGTCCACCATGGGAATTAGCAAACACGATACCAAAGCTTTCCCCAGAGAACCAGTTAATACTAACCCCAAAGCCCAGGTCAGGTCTGCCTGCAACCAAGACTCCTCCCCCCACCCATGTGTTGGGAGGGAGGGAAGAGATGGGGGCTGCTCTGCCACCCCCTTTCTGGGTTCCTGCGGGTGGCGGTGGCTGAGGCCTCAGCCTCCTGTGATGTGGGACTGTCAGGTCAGGGCCAAAATAGGTCCTGGAAGCGAGTGGAGGTTGGCCCTGAGGAGGAACAGCCAGCCTCAGGCCTGAGGGGTGCAGCTGTGAATGCCTGCCTGAGACAGAGCAAGGGAGGAAGCTCCCCAGAGGGCTGGGCCTGTGCCCATCTGTACCTGTGTCTGCGCATGCATGAGTGCATGTGCACACGAGTGTGCATGTATGTCTATGTACATGTCTCTGAGTGTGTGCATGTGTCTGGTGACTGAGTGTGCATGTGTCTGTGAGTGCATTGTACACCTGTATGCATGTGTGAGTGTTTGCACATGTGAGGTAGCTGCATGTGCAGGAATATATTTGCACACATTTAAGTATGCATCTGTCTGAGTATGTATATATGTATGCACTTGGAAGGTAACTGCGTATGCATGAGGAAATGTTTATACATGTTCACACACGTGAGTGCATGTATGTCTGAGTCTGTACACCTGTATGCATGTATGTGTCTGAGTAAACATGTGGGTGTGCATCTGTGTTTGCACTGTACATGTGTAGCTCTGAGATGGGCTGTGCACACAGATGTGAGGAAGTGGGGTCACTTCCCCAGGAACCCCCGCTGCCCCCTCTTCCTTTACCCACCCTCCCTGGCCCAGGGGAGAGGCCCCAACTGCATAAAGAGGGCCCGGGAGCCCGCCTGTCTCTGCTGCTCCATCTCACATCTGCCCACACTGCTGCCCAGGCCCATTCCAGGAGGGAGGGGGCCAGAAGCGTTGGGCACTCAGGAGTCTCCTGCCCCAAATTATCCAGGTGCAGGTACTGGCCTTAGCTGTGGAGGAGGGAAGGGGGTGACTGGGAGGTGCAGCTCCTCCCTGCAGGCACAGGGGGCGAGAGTTATGTGTCCCTGCCTGCAGAGCCCCTTCTCCTGGGCACAGGCCCACCCAGGGGTCAGCTGTTCTGGGAAGGGCACTGGTCTGGGAATATGCTGAGTGGCCTGTGGCTGTCTCTGAGTGTCACGAGTGCCTTATGGTAACTGTGCGCCTTGCTGGACACAGTCCCACCCTAGACAGACACCTGGCCTCACCCTGCCCTCCAACCTGGGACTTCCAAGCTGTGACTGCAGAGGACACAAGGGTGCCCATCAGAGAAAGGAGCAGCCCAGAGGGTCCAGTGGCAGCACCTGGTGCAGCTGGACTTGGGGGGAGGGTGAGCACAAAGGAATCTGGGGGTCCTTTGAAGGGAGGGAAGGACCAGATAACCTGTGCAGGGTGTGGAGGGGGGAGGGGTAAACTGCTGGGGGCGCCCATGAGGCCTTAGGGTGTGTGGGGCATGGGGGCTGATGGAGGACTGTACTGGCAGAGGAGGTGGGGGCCGGACAGGCTAGAGCCACCCCTCCCAGGCTAGGAACAGGACTCCATGAGGCCCTCTCCACCGACCTGGGTGCTGCTAAGGGGTGAGTGGGGTAGGGGCTGTGGGTGCATGGGGGATAAAGCCAGACTGAGTAGGACTGGCAGCCCCAAGAAGTTGGCTCACCCAGTTGATCCCCTGTGGCTCTCAGGACCTTAGGGTGGGGTCCCCAGATGTTGGGGAGGGGTGAGACTTACCTGGGGCCAGGCTTTCCTGGAGTGGCTAGGAGAGGGCAGGAGGGGCTGGCTCCACTCCAGGCCCAGGGACCTGGGGTCTGGTCTCAGGAGACAGGGGTGGGTGCTCAGCTGGAGGAAGGTACCCTGTTGTCCATCTGTGTGCTGTCTGTCCTTCTGCTGCCCAGTTGCCCCTCTCCCTATATGCACCCCATGGGCAGTGTTAGGATCTGGGGTGGGAGCAGTGCTCCTGGAGGGGCTGCCCCTTTAGCGGAAGGCAGGGAGTTCCCTGCTGGGGCCCAGGCTCCAGGCTCCATAACCCCTGCCACAGGGTTCCTCCTGGCCTTGGATTGAGCTCCACGTGGCCAGCATCCCGCCCTGCTCCCCCCAACCCCACCCTCCAACTCAGGTTGAGCCCTGCTGTGGCCCACAGGTCCTGCTCCCCTGTCCCTATGACCAACATGAGCTGGAGCTTCCTGACGCGGCTGCTGGAGGAGATCCACCACCACTCCACGTTCGTGGGGAAGGTGTGGCTCACAGTGCTTGTGGTCTTCCGCATCGTGCTCACGGCTGTGGGCGGCGAGTCCATCTACTCCGACGAGCAGACCAAATTCACGTGCAACACGCGCCAGCCAGGCTGTGACAACGTCTGCTACGACGCCTTCGCCCCCCTGTCCCACGTGCGCTTCTGGGTGTTCCAGATCGTGGTCATCTCCACGCCCTCTGTCATGTACCTCGGCTATGCTGTGCACCGCCTAGCCCGCGCTGCGCAGGATGAGCGCCGTCGCGTGCCCCGCCGCCGCCCGGGGCCCCGTGTGCCCCTACCGATGCCCCCGCAGTCCCATCCCAGCTGGCCTGAGCCCACCAACCTGGGCGAGGAGGAGCCCATGCTGGGCCTGGGCGAGGAGGATGAGGAGCCAGGGGCAGCTGAGGGCCTGGGAGAGGAGGACGAGCCTGAGGACATGGGCGCGGCCAAGGGCGCCGGCAGGGACACCAAGACGGCGGTGCCCCCGGGCCCCAATGGGCCACACGACGGGCGGCGGCGCATCCAGCGAGAGGGCCTAATGCGTGTGTACGTGGCCCAGCTAGTGGCGCGGGCTGCTTTCGAGGTGGCCTTCCTGGTGGGTCAGTACCTGCTGTATGGCTTCGAGGTGCCGCCTTTCTTCCCGTGCAGCCGCCGGCCTTGCCCGCACGTGGTCGACTGCTTCGTGTCAAGGCCTACGGAGAAGACGGTCTTCCTGCTGGTCATGTACGTGGTCAGCTGCCTCTGCCTGCTGCTCAACCTCTGCGAGATGGCGCACCTGGGCCTGGGCAGCGCACAGGACGCGGTGCGCGCCCGTCGCCCCGCGCCCGCCGCCCTTAGCCCCGCGCTAAGCCCGCCACCCTGCCTGCCTCCCGCCGCGCCTGCGGGTCTGGCCTGCCCGCCTGACTACAGCCTGGTGGTGCGCGCGGCAGAGCGCGCGCGCGCCCACGACCAAGACCTGGCCAGCCTGGCGCTGCGGGCGCTGCGGGATGGCCAGGCGCTCGGGGACCGGGACAGCCCGCCCAGCCCGGGCCTCCCCGGGGCCGCTCGGGGCCCCCCGAGGGCCGGTGCGCCAGCTTCCGGGTCTGGCAGTGCTACGTCAGGGGGCACAGGCGGGGGCGGGGGCCAGGGTCGGGCGGGCACTAAGCCCAGGGCGGGCTCAGAGAAGGGCAGTGCCAGCAGCAGGGAGGGGAAGACCACGGTGTGGATCTGAGGCCCCGCACACACTGCTTCCAGTCCTCCGTCCACTCCAGGCACAGGGTGGGAGCTGGGGACTGGACGCAGAGCACCTTCTGCCGCCGCCGCTTCCTCGCCTCCTCCGCATCCTCGGCCCACCGCTCTCCTCCTTGGGAGGGGCGGGAGGGGGAAGGGCACCTCCTGCTCAGCATCACTGCCCGTTCCCCGCTGAGCCCCCTCTCTGTCCCGGGTAAGAGGGGAAGGGCAGGCCTGGCCACCACGAAATGTCCCCAGTTCCGATTCATAAACCCCGGAGTGTGAGCGGGACTGTAGCTAGATCATTGCCCCTCCCCATGCCTCCTCCAGGGCCACCTTGAGGCACCCTGGCCAGGATGCCCAGCCCGTCCCTCAGAGCTTCGCTGGGACCCGGCTAGTGCCTCAGGACAAGGGCTTAGGATTGAGTGCCCCCCTTCCCTGCTCTCCTATAGCAGTCCGGATGTGCTGCCCATGGGTGACTGGCCTGGGTGTTGGGGGGTACTGTGCTGTCCTTACTTTCTGCAGTAGCCAATGGAGCTCCTTCCCCAGCACCCCATCCTCCAGCCCCCAGCCCACTGTTGGTTTCTGCAGAGCCAGGAGCATTCCTGGGACTTCCTTGTGCAGTAAAGGAAACAGGCAGAGTGGGCAGAGGCCCCTGAGCGCAGCCCTGGGCTGTACCTCCTCCCCACTCAACCCTCTGGGGCCCAGATGGTGAGCTGCTCATCCTCCTGCGAGAGTGGGCCTGTCTCCTGTCCCGTTTCCTACCCATAGAGCTGGGCTGAGGCCCTGGAAAGCTGGGGTGGATACCCCCTGTTTCCTGCCCATACAGCTGGGCTGGGGCCCTGGAAAGCTGGGGTGGACATGGCCACGCCCTCTTAAATTTTGCTGCAGCCTGGCAGAGCCCTCCTCTGGGACAGACTTGGAGTTCCACAAAGACCTTGGTCTGCCTTGCTGCTGGGACCAACATGGTGGTGGCCAGAGGCTGCAGCTTGGTGGTGCTTGGGGAAGAGGCGCCAGGCTCCTGCCCAGGGCCACCCTGCCCTCAGGCCCCCTTCCTGATTTAGGCACAGCCTCCCAAACAAAGGGCATAAAATAATAAACTAACTTTTGTTTATAACTGTGTGTGCACGTGTGTGTATGCACACATATGTATGTGCATGTGGCCTGTGTGCACGTGTACATACACCTGTATGTATTCATGTGGCGTGTGCATACATGTGCAAGTCCATCACTGACCTCTGGGGACACAACTCAGCTCTAGGCTGGCTGGAAGAGCAGCTCCTGAGACATGTGGGTGCAGCTCAGTGCCAGGCAGCAGGCGGGGTAGGGCACCACTGAGCACACAGATGGTGAGAACAAAGAGCAGGCCATGCCTCCATGCTCAGAGCCAAGGTCAGAGGACAGAGTGGCCCCAGCATGGTGTGGACAGCAGCCAGAGCCTGCAGTGGTAGCTTTGGTGAGGGGCAGAGGTGGGCATAGGAGAGGAAGAATCAGTTGCTGCCAGCAAGGAACCACCTCCATCTAGACTTCAGTGACCCCAGCTGTTTCCCAGCCTCCCTCAGGCCCAGGGCAGGTCCTGACAGCCTCTCCCAGCTGCAGACTATCCCTTTGGTGTCCCAGGGCCAAGCCCTGAGACAGGGCTGAACCCCAACCCTAACCTTAGCCTACCTCTGGTCAGATGCCAACTGCAAGTTGAGTCCCTCTTCTGTGTGGGGTATGACTGGCTGAGCCCTGCCCTCAGGGGAGCCCCACCCCTAGGTAAGCCCCAGATCCAAGTGATCCCCACTCCCAGTGGAGCTCCACTCCAAGAAATCTTGATGGCTATGCCAATCTGGATCCAGAGTAGGGGTACACCATTCACCTCTGCAAGAGAGGAAGGTCCGTGGAAACAGCAGTCCCAGATTTGGGGCTGTGCTATTGGTGGGGTTGTCACTGGGAGGCTAGGTCCCTCGGGTGGAGGCCATGCTGTGCATCCCCAATGGGTGTGACTGGGCACAGTGAGTGGTGGAACTGGCGATGGGCACCTACAAGGCATTCCTGTGTGCCAGCACCCTCTCCGCTGCCTTTCCATGCCCCCAGGTCAGCCTCCTGCAGCTGGCTCTCCTCTCAGTGGGGGCCCTGGAGGACCTCAGGACCTCAGAGAGACGGTGGTCATCTGAGTGGGGAACAGTGGGACACTTGGAGTTCATAACAGCCTTAGTGGCTGGAGAGGGTTAGTGAGCAAGGCAGGTGTACATTCTCAGCAAAGACGGGAGGCTGGCCTGAATCCTGATGGTCAGTGCTGCGGCATCTGATGGTGACAGGGTCCATGAGGGGTGAGAGGTTGGGTTCATGCCCCTCAACATCCATTTAAAAGGAGGCACAAAGCCAGTGGACATGGGAGGCACTGGGTGGGTTTGTGCTTGGGGAAGAGCATTCTGGATTCGAACATTCTTTTTTTTTTTAAAAGATTTTTATTGGGGAATTGGGGGGATGGGAACAGTGCTGGGGAACTGGGGGAAGGGGAACAGACAAGTTGCTGTCGTTTTGTTCTTCAATCTAGTTGTGGAGGACGTTGCTTCACTGGCCCAAGTTGGCACCATCATTGCACTCTTCCCGGGCGAGGCAGATCAGTCGCCGGCTTCTGGACGGCCGCTCACTGCGGCTGCTGGCCGCTCACGCTGGCTGCTGGCCGCTCACGCTGGCTGCTGGCCGCTCACGCTGGCTGCTAGCTACACACGGTAGCCCATGGCAACCCACTGCCACAGGGGTTGCAGCCTACGCCGTTGCCATCACCTCACGGCAGCCCAGCTCCAGGTTGAGCTGTTGTTCAGCATCTTAGCTGTAGAGGGCAGTATCACTGGCCCTCATATGTGGGATCTGAACCGGGGCCCTCTGGCGTCCCAAGCCAGGTCTTAACCATCGCACCACTTGGCCGGCCCGTGGATTCGAACATTCTAAACAGGATGTCCAGACACTGGTCTTTTCCTGTCCTTGGACTTGGACTCAGGCTGGAACTTAGGCCACTGGCTCTTCTGGGTCTTGCCGACAGCAGATCTTGGGACTTCTCAGCCTCTTTCTCTATATATATCAAGTTGGTTCTGTTTCTCTGGAGAACCCCGACTCACACACATCCCATTAGTCAGAGCTGGTTAAAGGGCATCCCAGCAGTGAGGGAAGCTGCATGTGGGGGCTCTGTTCTGGAAAGCGTCTCTGTCAGCTCGGGCTGTGTAACAAGTGCTACAGTCTAGGACTTACACAGACATTTACTCGTATTTCTCACAGTCCTAGAGGCTGGAAGTTTGGGATTCAGGTGGTGGCGGGACTGGTTCTCCTGAGGCCTCTCCCCTTGGTGTGTGGATGGCTGTCTCCTCCCTGTGTCCTCACATAGTCATCCCTCTATGTGCATCTGTGTCCTGATCTCTTCTTATAAGGACACCGGTCCTATAGGATAAGGACCCACCCTGGTGACCTCATCTCACCGTCATCACATTTTTAAAGGCCCCACTTCAGGCCCTGGGGTTGGGACTCCATCCTAAGGTATATGTCAAACAGAAGGTCCAATCACCACGGGAGAAGGCATGGGCCTCCTATCTCGGACTTGGGCACCTGGATGCACCACTGGGGACCCCTCTGTTCTGTGAACTTTCGATGGTGGTGCCTTAGGTTCTTTTGTCACTGGCTGTCCCAGGTCTGGGAAGCCAACCTCTGGGTCATCTATGGTCCCCCCTCCAAGACCAATTCCTTGATGCAGTGATACAACCACGGTCTCATGCCAGAGCTGATACCCTAAAGTGGGTGGCCATCTCCCACCTGGAATACGGTGCTCAGGTCTGTTAGCTCCCAGAGGTGGAACACTTAACTACTTAAAAACAAACAAACCCTCTTGGTTTCCACACCCACTTGGGATGTCCATGAGGATGGAAGGCAAAACTGTCCCCCCACCTGTCCCCGTCCTTTGGGCTCAGGGAGCAGGTCAGCAGGATAAACCTCAGTGCCTGGCAGGGTCCCCAGGCTGTGTGGGGCCCGCCCAGGTCCATACTGAAGCAGGGCCGGCCAGGGGAGTGTCTGGGGCACGATCAGATAGAATGGCCTTCTTGTCTCATTCTCATCCGTTTCCATGGCTGGAGCCAGCTCTCCAGCTGCTCAGGGAGACCACAGAGGGCTGTGGGGAGGTGTTCCAACACCCCCAGAATGGGGCAGCTTCCTTCTCCTGCCTTTGGAAAGGGAAGATGCCATGAGGAGAGAAAAACAGGAAACCACTCCTGGCCAGGCAGCAGCTGGGAAGCGGGGTCCGGACCCCCATGCCTGCCATTTTCCAGCTCTCAGCTCCCCACCCCATCTAACGGTTGCAGGCCCCTGGCCTCAGAGAGTTGAGCGCTCGTGAGATCCAGCTGCAACCCCCTCCTCCCCCCGCCCCCACTGCAGCCCAGGTCAATGAATAGTGTTCCCTGGGAGCCTTCTGAGGCCAGGCCATAGCCTCTTCAGAGCTGCGGTATGAGAAGTATTGTGAGGACACCTGAGAAAGGGCAGTAGCTGGGAGGTGCCGACAATGTCAGGGTCCCTGGTATTGGGCTGGCCAGGATGCTGCAGAGACCCAGGAAGGCTTCCTGGAGGAGGGTCCCCAGAGCATCACTGGCCAGCAGACTCTGGGATGGCGGGAGGTGTTATTTGCTCTAACCACTAAGGAAACCACAGGCCACATGTATCTCTGGGCACATCAGTGGGGTCATCAGGGAGATGCTGGGAGGCTCATTTGACATCATTTGAGTTAATTTGCATTCAAACAGCCCTTGTGGCAGAGCAGGCTGGGTTTGGCACTGGATCAGGTCAGGGAGGTTCCAGGTGGCCCCGGGTCACCTGGGGCCCTTCCTGCCCAGTGGGAAGCAGGTTTCTCTGCTGGCTGGGGACAGGCTGACGTGAGGCTGGAGGAACTTGCCCCCCACCTCGTTTTGTCCTCAGAGGCTGGCAGGGAGGTGCCGGGTCACCCATGGAATGCCCGGCCAGCAGAGGAAGACCTCCTCCATGAAGGGCTGCAAGCCAGTGGAGCCACATACCAGGCCGAGCTGGTCATAGCCAGGAAGCCAGCCAGGTTGGGGATCAAGGGCCTCAAGGCTCAGGGGGCACTGAGCAGGCTGATCGTGCCCCTCACCACGCAGTTAGCCCGGCTGGAAAATCGGGACTTGTAGGGTTTGGGCAGCATGATGTTGAGGGGGCATTCAGCCTGGCAAGTGAGAGCTGGACAAGCAGAGGACTTGCGAGGAGACAGCAGACAGACAGGGCAAAATGTTGACAATTGGTGAATCTAGGTGAAAGGTGGTACAGCTTATTTTACTATTCTTTCACAAATTCTGTAGGTTAAAATTTTCAAGTAGGGGGCCGGCCGAGTGGAGTGTTGGTTAAGAGCTGGCCTGGGACGCCAGCTCTGAGCAGCAGGGCCCCAGTTTTGACCCCAGATGGAGGCCAGTGACGCTGCCCTCCACAGCTAAGATGGTGAACAACAGCTCGACCTGGAGCTGGGCTGCCATGAGTCGCCGGCGACGGCGTAGGCTGCAGCCCCTGCTGCAGTGGGCTGCCATAAGCTACTGTGAGTGGCTGGCAGCCAGCATGAGCAGCTGGCAGCCGGTGTGAGCTGCCAAGAGCCACCGTGAGTGGCCGTCCAGAGGCCGGCGACCGATCTGCCTCACCCAGGAATAGCGCAATGATAATACCAACATGGGCCAGTGAAGCGTCGTCCTCCACAACTAGACTGAAGAACAAAAGGACAACTTGTCTATTCCCCTCCCCCCCGGTTCCCCAGCACTGTTCCCCTCCCCTAAATCCCCAATAAAATCTTTAAAAAAAAAATTTCAAGTAGGAAGTTGGAGAAATGCATCCATAGATGGTCAGAGCAGCTTTGTTGGGAGGTGGCATCTGGGCCCAGTCTTGAGGTACGGGCAAGTCATGTGCTATTGGGGGAGGTCTGCTGGGGGAGGCAGGAGAGGGGACAGAGCTAACTGCTGATCTTGGATGGGAGTGTATGGCTGTGAGCTCTGTGAGGGAGGGTCCAGGTGTCACGTGGGGACTTCATGGATGCCAAGGGATGACACTGAGCATGGCAGAGGGTGGGCTGCTGGGTGCTGGAGCAATGTGGCTCTGGGGAGATGTGGCGGTCACTCTTGTACACACACAGTTTTTGAGTATCAGACACACCGGCAGAGTGCCAAACAGGCCATGGGGTCTGGAATTTGGGGGGAAGGCCTGGCCTGGAGATATCAATTGGAGCCATGAGCTTGTGGACACATAAAATCGTGTATCTAGATGAGGTGGTGAGAGTGAGGGAAGGTGGAGATGCCCCCAAGGACACCCCTGACCCCACACTACAGGCTAGCACGGTGCTGCTCTGACTGGTGAACTGGGCAGGAGTAACAGTGAGCCATGGAGTCAGATCCGGGATAGAACACAGGAGGTGCTGCAAGTATTTGTGGCTGGTTTCTATCTGCCACCTTGCAGTTTCCTGGGTTTCAGTGACAGTGGGTTAAGGGAGAGCACACAGGCTGTCAGAGTTTCGCTGAAAGGGGAACAAACAACTGGGGATGATAACTGATGAGGAAGTGGGATTCAAAAGCTGTGCTTGGTGTTAAGGGCTGAATTGTGTCCCCCAATATCCACATGTGGAAGCCCTAAGCCCCAATGTAACTGTCTCTGGAGACAGGCCTTCAGGAGCTGATTAAGGTTAAGTGAGGTGATAACGGTGGGGCCCTGATCTCACAGGACTTGTATCCTTATGAAAAGAGACACCATGAGTGAGAAGGCTCTGTCTGCACACTGAGGAGAGAGGCCCCACCAGAAACCTGCCCTGACAGCACCCTGATCTTGGACATCTAGCCTCCAGGGCTGAGAAAATGAATGTCTGTTGTTTAAGCCCCTCATCCTGTAGTGTTTGTTATGCAGCCTGAGCTGACTGGGGCACTTAGGAAAACAGTATGGAGGTTTCTGGAAAAATTAAACAGAATTACCATATCATCTGGCAATTCCACTTTGGGTATATACTTATGATATTTTGATTTATAATAATAAATACATATTTGGTCTGTACTATTCCTGGCACAGCTCCTAAAACCCTTGGAATTTCCTGATATGGGAACCATAAGGTGTCTTGTTATGTTAATGAGGTGATTTTGGAAAGCCCTTAAGTTCGGGGGCTTTTCCTCAGGGAACCAACCTTCTGGTTAGAGAATTGGAACTTTCAGTCCCACCCCGACCTCAGGGAAGGGAGAGGGGCTGGAGGTTGAAAAAATCATCAGTGGCCAATGATTTAATCAATCATTCCTATGTAATGAAGCCTCCATAAAACCCAAAAGGGACACAGCTCTGAGAGCTTTGGGTTGGTGAACACCAGGAGATGCCAGGAGAGTGGTGTGCTCAGAGAGGGCATGGAAGCCCTTCATTCCTTCCCACATACCTCACCCCGTGCATCTCTTCCATCTGGCTCTTCCTGAGTTATAGCCTTTATAATAAGATGGTGATCTGGTAAGTAAATGTTTCTCTGAGTTCTGTGAGCCACTCTTGCAAATTATGGAACCTGAGGAGGGAGTTGTGAGAACCACCAATCAGAAGCACAGGTGACAACCTGGACTTGCAATTGGTGTCCGAAGTGGGGACAGTCTTGTAGGACTGAGTCCTTCCTTCACCTGTGGGGTCTGACACTATCTCCAGGTAGGTAGGGTCAGGATTGCTTTAAACTGTGGGACACCCAGCTGGTGTCACAGAATTGCTTGCCGTGCACCCACTCCCATACACACATTTGGTGATCAGAAGTGTCAGAAGTAAAGGGAGTGTGAGAGTGAGACACACAGAAGTGGGTTTCCTTGTGCAATGCCAAAAGGAACTGAAAGCAGGGTCACAAAGAGATATCTGCGCACCCGTGTCCATGGCAGCACATTCACGATAGCCAAGGGTTGGAAGCAACTCCTATGTCCATCAACTGGTGAACGGATAAAATGTAAGCGGATGTTATTCAGCTTTGAAAAGGAAGGAAATCCTGACACACTGTAGATGACCCTGGAGGACTTCGGGCATAGCAGCATTAGCAGTCACAAAAGGACAATACTGCATAATTCCTCTAAGTCCCTAAGAGGAGTCACATTCACCTAGATAAATTGGAGTGGGGGTGTACCAGGGGCTGAGAGGTGGATGGTGATAAAAAGTGAACTGGCATTTTGTGATACGTGACCATAGAGCTGGGAGGACTGTGGGTGCTCCTGGGCCCCTTGTTAACTCTGTAATCCTGACTCCAGGTTTAACTTTGTGATAGCTTCTGGGGGAGGGATATAAATAGAGCCATCTTAAAAGAGCTCTCCCTTTTTCCTCCACGTGGGCGGCCACTTGGAGCCCGGTGTGGGAGGTGTGCGTGGGCGGCCGGTTGGAGTCTTGTGTTGGAGCAGTGCGTTTTCTGCACTGCGGTGGTAGCTTTTTTTTCCCCCTTTCCTCCGAATAAACCTTTTTTTTCTGTGCCTCATTTGGAGAATTATTTTCGCCAGTCAACAACAGGGACTCCAGTTTGATGGGTAGGGCATTTCTATTTTGGAAGATGAGAAAGCGCTGGATGGTAGGGATGTATACACCACAGTGGGAATGCGCTTAACGACCCTGAACTGAGCACCTGAAAAGCGCTGACACTGCCATAAACAAGCAGAAACTCGCTCTGAAAACCCAGGGGCAGGCTAAGGTAGTTGCACTCAGAGCCTGGATAAGGAGGATCCAGTGCAGGGGACCGGTCGGGAGGGGCGGAGCTGGACGGGGGATGACGGACAGCCCGAGGTCCCGCCCCACCAACGCCCTGCGCGCACGTCCCACCCTCGCTCCGCCCGCCCGCCCGCCTCCCGGGCCGTTCCTTCCAGCGGCCTCACTCGTGCCCAAGATGGCTGCCGCGGCGTTTCTCCGGGGCGCAGCTCCGGGGCGTGGCGGACTTGCTTGGCGTTGGCGGCTACGCGCGGTCCTGAAGCACCGCCTAGCTCACGGCTTGAGCCGTCAAGGCGACAAACCTGCGGGCGACACAGCCTGGGCCTGTTTCCCCCTGGGCGAACGCGCCCTGGTGCGCGTGCGCGGGCCGGAGTCGGCGCCCTTCCTCCTGGGGCTGCTGACCAATGAGCTGCCGTTTCCGGGTCCTGCCGACGGTGCCGCCCCGCCCCCGGCGAGCGCGGGCTACGCCCACTTCCTCAACGTTCAGGGACGTACGCTCTATGACGTCATTCTTTACAGGTGAGAGCTGATGGCGTTGAGGTGGAGGGAAGTGGATAAAGGGAGGGAAGATCTAGGAGGAGGGTAGGGAGTCAGGGGGAGGGGCAGGTCTCCCAAGGGAAGGTCAGGGAGCTAGGAGGTGGGGCCACCCACGGGGAGGGCCTTCCGGGGGAGGGCAGCTGAGATGGGAAGGGCACCCTGGAGGAGGGCATTCGGGTAGGGCTCCCGTAGAGGGCGGAGTGGTACCCAGGGACAGACCCCCGAATTGCTCCATGGGGGTAGGCCTGGGGTCCTCTGCCCCTGGCCTCTGCCCCTGTTCAGCTTTGCACTGTCTCCACTGCGAAGAAGGGGTCAGTAGTAGCCCCTGAAGCCAGTGACTGCAGAGAGTGGACTGTGCGTGACCGGCTTGTGCCATGGCTTTCCGAATTCTGCAGTATTTCCGCATTTGCGTCACCATATCCAGTGTTATCCGTGTTTGGTGTTTTAATCAGTCTGTGTTGACATTATCGTGGCCTATGTGATGGTCATGGGGCTACGCCCTCTCATGCAGTTCCAGGCTGTGTGTCCGGAGGCACACTGGGCCTCTCCTCTCTGACCATTCCTCTAGGCCACATAGCCCTGGGAACTGCCCTTTGCCCCTCCTGTTTTGGATGTATCTGCATCTTTCTCAGTTGACTCCTGCGTCTGGAGGAGCACGTTCTTTAGTGACTTGTTGAGAGGTGGGATACTTCAGGTGGCCTTGGACTCCTTATGGCCCTGCAAATGGTCTTACCTGATAGCTTGGCTGGGATAAAAACTACAGGTGGAAAATTGTCACTGAGAATTGTGGCCTGTCCTCCTTCACCAGTATTTCTGTTGAGAAGCCTCATTCATGCCTTCTTGTTTTGGGGTCCTGAAAGTTTGTAGGGGCTCTTTATTCGACAATTATTTTGGGTTTTCTTTCCTGTCGTGTTGCCTGGTGCTGGGTGGGCACTGTGACTGTGGAACAGTGAGTCAGTAAGGTATGGCCCTCAGGCAGTCACCACCTGTTTTGGTAAGTATTTTATTGGAATGCTGCAATGCCCACTTGTTTGCATGCCGTCTGGGGCTACTTGGCAGTCTGTCCAGCACCAGGTTTGTGATAGACACCGTGTGACCAAAGCCCAAATTGTCTGTTATCTGGCCCTCTACAGAAAACATTTGTGACCCCTGCTGTGTCCTGTTTCAGAGATGCCATCATCATTTGTCTCATATATCTATTACCTTTCTCTAGTTGCTTTAATTTCTTTATCTTAGAATCTGCATTCTTATCTTGAGCCCCTCTGTCAGTAATTTTCAGTAGCATCTATTCTGGTCATTACTGTTTTTAATTTATGAGCATTGTAATGATGTTTTGATCCCTGAATTTCCTTGCTATGTCAGCAGTCAGCCTTCACATCTTTTTGTCTTTGTGTTGTTACTTATATTTTCATAAGTCACTCTACAGTGGAAAGCAGTTTTTTTTTTCCTCTTTATACCTTCCCTCTGTTTTGGAACATCATTGCACGCACTTGGCAACTCTGTCCAGACGTTACCTGGCCCTGATATGTCCTGGAGATAAGTCGTTTTTTTTCTCTGCTGGCTAATTCCTGAGAATGGGGTATCACAGCGCCACTCGCTGTTCAGTGTGCTGAGGGAATTGGGGGCCACTGTGATGACGGCCCCTGATCCTTGTCTGCCTTCTGAGATTCCAACATGAAGTCCTGCGCAGGCGGGGTGGGATGGGTCTTCGTTCTGTCAGAGACACCACAGAGGTAGTGGCCTTGCTTCTCCTCAGCAATCAGGAGACAGAAGGGGTATGGATATCCCCCTTAGATGACTGCTGCTGCACCTGGGGTGCTGGTAGGCAGTGGATTTATATCCCAGTTCTGTTCTGTGGTGTGGGCATTGGGAGCTGAGCCTGCTCTCCTTCTACCCTGCTTGACACCTCTTTTCTGTTCTGACCCCTCATGGGGTTAGTTCATATGTTTGTTCCCTGCCTTATTGCTGATGGCCATTTACGTATGTCTAGTCTCTCTGGAGTCTGCTCTCTGGGAAGAGGGCAGCGCTGGGTATGGCTGCCTCCCTGAAGGCCTGCATGCCTTTCTGCTTTCTCGGTCTTACCTCCTGACCTGGATTTTTTTTTTTCTCTACATCTACTCTCTTGAATTTTTCATTTTAATTCTCACACTTTAATTTCCCATCCTTTCTTCTTCAGAGCACCCTGTTCCTGTGTCCTGGATGCAGCATCTTCTCTCAGGTGTAGTTTTTTGTTTGTGAATTAGATTTTATTTATGTCAACCTTAAAAATAAAACAGCTGGTTATTTTTCCATCAAAATGAGTTTATTTAGGAATAGCAGGGGAATTGTGGGGACATGCAAACCATGGTGAAACAGGCAAGTTGGGAGAACAGAGGAGAGGAATTACTTTTATTGAGGAAAGAAGGGAGGTGGGAGGGGCTGTTTTTAACAGAGGTTCATTGGAAGAGAGCGAGAGTTCAGGATGGTGATAGCTTCTCATTGGCTGAGTGTGGTGGTTTCTTATTGGTTGGGCTGTTGCTGGGCAAAGAGAAAATGTTCCTCTTACTGGGGCATGTAAAGTAAGTTGCCTGCTGCTGGAGTCTGCAGAGGACAGTGGGTGTTAGTATGTGAGAGCTCCCCCTTCAGGGCTTCCTGATACTGATTTTAATGAGGTTTTTCTTTATTCATTTTCACACTTATTAGAGCAGTTTTAAGTTTGCAGCAAAATTGAGCAGAAGGTGCACAGCTTTCCCGTACACACGTGGCCTCTCCCACCATCAACTTTCCCCACCAGGTTGGGTATTTGTTAAAACGTTGAACCTACATGGACACATCATCACCCAGAGCCCATAGTTTACATTAGGCTTACTCTTGGAGTTGTGGGTTTGAACAAGTGGACAATGACATGGATCCTCCATTGCAGTCTCATGCAGAGTAGTTTCATGGCCCCCCAAATCGTCTGTGCTCCGTCTGTTCATCCCTCCCCATCCTCCAACTCCTGGAAATCCTGATCTTTTTACTGTCTCTCTAAAAAGATAGTTGGAATCATATGAGGTGTGGTCAGACAATATGGTGAATGTTTAAATAAATAAATAAATAATTGTTACAGTAAAAGACACATTGCTATTAATCCTCCTCAAAGTACTTGCCCTCGCTTCGAACACACTTATCCCATTATTCTTGCCACTTTCTGAAGCAGTTCTGGAAGTCCTCTTTTGTGAGTATCCGGTGAATAAGGTGGATGAGGACACCTTATGAGGACACCAAGTGTTTTTATTGATAGAAATTGCTGTACCAGAAGCGATATGTGACATGGAGTTTTTCCATTGTCATCAAAAACTATGGTGAATGCTGCTGCCGAGTGCCATCCAACAGAAAGGCAGGGATCTTCAATATGGGAAGCGGTGTGTCAAATCTTAGTAATAGTGTGTGACAAGTTTCATCATGTTTGGTGCACTCAGTCGGGTGTGAGCTACAGTAGAGAGAAGGTGTGTGTTAAAGTGTGCTGTAAATCACCCTCCATCATGTCAGTGCTCCATGTCACACATCGCTTCTGGTATACAGCAGTTTTTGTCAAATAAAAACATCACAGTGTGTCCTCATCTAGCTTATTCACTGGACCTGCCACTGTGCGACTTCTGGCTCTTCTCCAAAGTCAAAATGATTCAGGACGTTGAGGCAGCCATGACAGCGCACTAAAGACACTCATGAAAGAGGACTTCCAGAACTTCAGAGAGTGGCAAGAACGATGTGATAAGTATGTTCGAAGCAAGGGGGAGTAGTTTGAGGGGGATTAATGGCACTGTGTCTTTTACTGTAATAAAGGCTTTTTTGTTTGTTTATTTAAGATTTTATTGGGGAATTAGGGAAGGGGAACAGCCAAGTTGTTGTCCTTCAATCTTAGTTGTGGAGGGCACAGCTAGCTCAGCTCCAAGTCCAGTCATCATCTGGCCACCTGTTGGCAGCTCGTGGGTGCTCAGCTCAAGGTACCGTGTTCAATCTTAGTTGCAGGTGGGCTAGTCCACCATCCCATGTGGGAGTCGAACTGAAAACCTTGTTGCTAAGAGCACACGCTCTAAATACTGAGCCATCTGGCCGCCCATGGGCAACTTGGGGCCAGTCAGCTCAAGGTGCCTTGTTCAATCTTAGTTGCAGGTGGGCATAGCCTACCATCCCATGCGGGAGTCCCAACATGCTCTCATATGTTAGGAGCACATGCTCTCACCAGTTGAGCCATCCTGTCACCTATTGGCAGCTCAGCTTGGGTGCAGTTCACTAGCCCATGTGGGAATCAAAGTGGTGACACTGTTACTCAGAGCTCACACTCTTAACCAACTGATCCACTTGGCCAGCCCTAAAGTTTTTTTTATTGAAACAATCACTATTGTTTGATGACACCTCATACAGTACGTGGCCTCCTCCAATTGGCACCTTTCACTCAGTAGTACACATTTAAGGTTCCTCCATGTCTTTTCATGGTTTGAGAGCTGATTTCTTTGTAGTGCTGAGTAATACTCCACTGAATGGATGTAGCACAGTTTATTTATCCACCCACCTACTGAAGAACATCTTGGGAGCCCCCAAGTTTTGGCAGTTAGGAATAAAGCTGCTGTAAATACCCGTGTACAGGTTTTTGTGTGGACATAAGTTTTTCAGTTCCTTCGGGTACATACCAAGGAGCACAATTGCTGGATTGTAAGGTGAGAGTATGTTTAGTTTTATAAGAAACCGCCAAACTGACTTCCAAAGTGGCTGCACCATTTTGCATTTCCACCAGCAATGGATGAAATCTCCTGCTGCCCCACGTCCTCACCCATGTTTGGTGTTGTCAGTGTTCCGCCTGTTAGCCATTCTAGTAGATGTGTAGTGGTAGTTCATTATTTTACTTTGCATTTCCCTGAGGACACATGATGTGGAGCATCTTTTCATGTGCTCATCTGCCATCTGTGTACATCTTTGGGGAGGTGCCCATGAAGGTCTTTGGCCCAGTTTTTTATAAGGTTGGTTGTTTTCTTGTTGGGTGTCCTCATCTGGGTCTTGTATGTCTCTACCTAGTCTCCCCACCCCATGTCTAATGCTGCTCTAGGCTCTCTGTGCTTGCCTGTCTGAAGGAGCCCTGCTCCACCTGGGTAGCACATGAGAATCCTGGGATCATTTAAGTGATGTGGTCTGCTGGCCAGGGCTGTGTCTTAGGATGGTTCTCCTGCTCGCCTTGGGGAAGTGGGAGGTGGGCATGGTAGGTGTGGCCTCAGCACCTCTCCCTCTGGCCCCTGCTGCAGTCCTCTCAGCTCTAGGAGTGCCCCTTCTGAAATCCACATGCGTCCCACCTTAGGACCCTGGCTGCTCAGTGGCTGGAGGAGGCAGGGTGGGCATCAGCGCCTTTCCACCTCACCTTGAACGTCAGACACCACCGTGGTCCCTGGGCCCACTCCCCACCTGCTGGCCCCTGGCATGTGTGTGTGCCTGCAGCCCAGGCAGGGCGGGGTCTTGCGAGGGCTGTGGAGTCTGCTGTGTGCCCTGCGCTGCACAGGGGTAGTGGAAGATGGGGTGTGGGGGGGGCGTGGGGGTGTGTGGCACGGCTACACACGCTGGTTCTGCAATGTGTCCCCCACACACACACACACACACTCACTGCCTCTCCCTGCAGGGTTCCTGAGCACCCTGACCAGGCACCTGCCTTTCTCCTGGAGTGTGACAGCTCGGTGCTGGGCGCGCTGCAGAAGCACCTGGCACTGCACAAGATCCGGCGGAAGGTCACGGTGGAGCTGTGCCCTGAGCTGTGTGTTTGGGCCCTGCTGCCCCACTCCCCAGGCTCCCCGGAGGAGGCTGGTAGAGCTGTACTGTTGCAGGAGCAGGAGGGCGCCACCATCCTCACCCGTGACCCCCGCACTGCCCGCATGGGCTGGCGGCTCCTCGCTCAGGATGAGGGCCCTGCTCTGGTATCTGGGGGCAGGCTTGGGGACCTCCAGGATTATCACCGACATCGGTACTTGCAAGGTATGGGTGCGAGGTGGGACCAGCCAGGGAGGGCAGAAATGGGGTAGAAGGGGCAGCAATGCAGGGCCAGACCCTGGGGAGGCACTTGGAGGAACCAGTGGAGAGAGCAGGGCTCCAGGTCAGGCAAGGGGTCATCTCCTCTAGCTGGTGGGGTTGAGGGCCAGATAGTTGCTCACCAAGGGACCAGAGGAGGGGGGCAGAGGAGGGGGTACAACCTGTCCTCCTTGGCTGAGCCCTCGCTCTGGAGGACACCTCAGCCCTCAGCAAGCTTCTCCCTTCCCACCCGACAGGCGTTCCCGAGGGGGTCCATGACCTGCCCCCAGGAGTGGCCCTGCCCCTGGAGTCCAACCTGGCTTTCATGAATGGAGTCAGCTTCACAAAGGGCTGCTACATTGGCCAGGAGCTGACAGCCCGAACCCATCACATGGGCGTCATCCGCAAACGCCTCTTTCCCGTGCAGCTCTTGGGCCCCCTCCCTGTGGGCGGCATTGCCCCCAGCACCACGGTGTTCACAGAGTCTGGACAGGCCGCCGGCAAGTACAGGGCCGGCCAGGGGGACGTGGGGCTGGCCCTGCTGCATTCGGAGAAAATTAAGAGTCCTCTACATATCAGAACCGCTGGGAGTGGCCGGGTGACCCTGACTGCGTCTGTGCCAGACTGGTGGCCCACAACCATCAAGTAGCCCCTATGTACTTGTACTGCCACACCTGTAGGCTGGCTCGAACTTCCCAGAGTGGCCCCGGGGAACATGTACCGTTGGAAGGTTCCTGAGTGTATTTGGACTCCTGGGACTGCAGGCAGGCCACCATGCTTCCTGCAGACACCGGCATCTGTGTTGGGCGTAACAAGAGCAAGCCCTGCGCCTGACCCTGCTGCGTGGAGCCCTAGCTTCCAGCTAACCCGGGATGAGGTTCCAAACCATGTTGGCCTGGAGGCCGTTTGTTTATCAGCCAAGGACAGAGTGAGGAGCCACACTCCTGGGCCTTTCCCGCTGCCTACACCACTCAGCCTGCTCTGGGGCGGGCCTGGGAGGAAGGCAGTGTAGGCTCTGTGGATGGCAACAGGCGGGTGGCTCTGGGAATTGGCTTCTGTGTGGGCTTGAGGCATGTCTTAGGGTGGGAATCGTGCAGTTCTGGCGTCCGTGGGTGGAGGTGTGTGCACTGCCCACAAGCCCCACAAAAGGTTCTCCCAAGTGCACTCTGCTTGGGGCATGGGAGCCCTGGCACCTTGTCATGGCAGGTGCCACAGCTCCACAGTATCGGCTCCATGTAGCCTGGGCAGCCCTGCCTCAGGGAGCCCGTGTGAGCTCGGCGGGCCATGTGCAGGGAAGAGCTTCTGCCTGGTTTACTGTTGTGGCTTTCTGATGTGGCAGGGGGACCACTTGCTTCCCCCTTTAAAACACTGATATCCTTCCTATCACTGCATTGTGAACGTCATGTTTACGGGTGACCCAACTAATGCCCCAGAGCAGCTATTAAAGGTTGACCCGGGCCGGCCGAGTGGCGCGATGGTTAAGAACTGGCTTGGGACGCCAGAGGGCCCCGGTTCAGCTCCCACATATGGGGGCCAGTGACACTGCCCTCCACAGCTAAGATGCTGAACAACAGCTCAACCTGGAGCTGGGCTGCCGTGAGTCGCCGGTGACGGCG